GCAGTTCTTTATGTTTGTCCTTTCGCAGGAAATTGTCCTCAGCTTGTGAATCAAAAATAACATTTTATTGTCTTTCTTCTCCTATCCACCTACTCACCATCATCCCGTTTCTTCTCAAACAACAACAGTCTTTCTATCTGGTCTTGTTAACCCTTGGCTTAAAAAAGCAAATTTCCCTACACGATTGATGTTTTTAGTGTAAATCTGGAGCTTTGTCTGACAGGGATAAATAAAAAGACAAATTGTAAGTGCTTTGGTTTTCACAGCAGGGAGTCCTATCATGCCATCAGCTTTCTTGTCCCCAAATGTGTGAGCTGCCTGAAAGACCAGGGTAATTGAAAAGCATGCATATACCTCTGGTTTCTCAGATATTAACGGAAATTGCCTCCTACTGTGGTTGCTTTCTGGCTCAGTGTTCTGAAAGAGAAACAGGTCATTCCATTTCAAGCACAAGTATTGAATACACGTTAGTCCATCAAGAAGGAAAAATCTCTGCGCACTGGTAGGTAGCAGGACAAATGTGACTGCTCGGTTCTGCTAATCCTGTACTAAAAATGACTTTCTCTCTCTCTTTTTCATTTCTTTTCTCTTGTCTTGTCCCTCCTTTGCCTCTCTCTCCGACCTCAGAAAAAGAGTAGGTAGAGTAGGTACACCTGAACACTTACTTCATTTCCTACCCAAATTATGTAGCATCTTAGTTTAACTTCAAGTTCATGATGACCTCCTCCACCAGCTATTAGAAATAATCCAAATGCCTATGGTGGGTTAGCAAGTCAGTGAGTTTGTGGGTGTAAGAAATTTTGGTATCCATAGAAAGAAAATGTAGAACGGATGATAAGCTATGGGGTTCAAGAATATTCATTAATACACATACTTACCTTAAGCAAAAGGTAAAGGCACAAAAAAACCTGTTTTCGGGATGCTGGGTACACCACCTGCCCAGCACCTGTAGCACTGAGTGACTGCTTAACAACAGAATGGGTTCACAATTCTCATATGAAGCTGAGATCAGCCATGACATTTCCAGCTGAGGGGGTAGCCCTTGATCATATTAACCAGTTAGCTGGCTAGTTACCAGGTAACTCAGAGTTCCAGGGGTCATTTGTCAGATATTTCCACTTGCCACTCCACACCCCCACCATACCTCACTTGTCCCAGATTGTTGGTGGAAGGGAGGGAGAGCAGTATGGATGGGGTTCACTAAATCTCACGGCATTGCTAAGCAGCACTTCCGTTGGTCAGTTATTAGGAAATGTGTGGAGTGTCATAAGAAGACACTCTCCATTTCATCTTATTTTATTTTTCCTTCCCTTCCCCTGTGATGCTCTGTTTTGTTTCTTAAATTCCACATATGAGTGAAATCATATGATAATAAGGAGGGCACGTGATATAATGAGTACTGAGTGTTATATGCAACTGATGAAGCACTGAACTCTACCTCTAAAACTAATAATACACTATCTGTTAATTAATTGAATTTAAATAAAATAATTTTTTTTAAAAAAAGACACTCTCCAGTGTGATTAGAAGATCTTCTAAAGCAGCTTCTCTGCCCAGGTGACTTGCAGTGTCCCTTTAAATTGTAAGTGATGACTTGTGGGATGTGGCTTGGCTCCCACATAGCTCCCTGAAGCTAGGGATGGTTAATGCACGTGCCAATTCCCTCCTCCTCCTCTGTCCCCCACTAGGTCCAGACAACTTTAACATCAACACTTTCTGCCTTCTCCTCCAAGGTTATATCCCTCTCTAACCCAGAGGACCCACACCTGTCCGAGGCAGCAGGAAGGGCAAGCAGGGGAAATTCTCACACTACCTACCACATTCTCCATGCAATCAATTTTCATGGTATGAACAGTCCTCCTGGCTTTCCTTAAAGCCTTCTCTTTAGATCTTCAAGAGCTTATTTTCAAAGTTTCAAAACATTTTAAAAGACTTAATGTTGAAAGTTACTTTCTCCTTGCAGACTCATTGCAACGATCCTAATTCTTTTATAAGCAACTGTGAAGATCTCTAACTAGAGGAAAGGTCAAATGTAAGAATGTTCAGAAAAGAAAAAAGGCACAAAATTTAATTTTTCAAGATGGCATCTCTCTACAACCTCATTCACTGCTCCTTCCTTCCCCACCAACTCTTCACTAACCCCTTACTTTTCCTTCATTAACTCTGGGAAACTTCTTTTTCAACCCTTAGTTGTCAAATCTGCTAATTTGTTTTTTTCAGACTTCATTTGACCTCTCCTATAGCATTTGATAATTTGACCATATCCTCTGTATTAGTTAGGAAAGGAGGGTGGTGGTGCATAAGTAGTAGACGTTTAACTCTATACTAGTGTAAGACAAGAGGAGAAGTTATTGGAAGGATACTGATCACTTCCTCCCAAAGAAATTACTTGTTCAGTTTTGTTCTGGGATCTACATGTGGGCCTGGCATTTTCAAATCTATGCCCCTACCCAAGATAGAAATAAACTCCCTAATAACCTCTAACAAATGCAGTTGGCCTCAATTAAACATTTCTGAATGTTATTGTTTTCAATCTATTTAAACCTGCCTCCTTGTATTTTTTTATTTATTTATTTAGTTGAGAGAGAGAGAAGCAGACTCCCTACTGAGCAAGGAGTCTGATGCGGGGCTCAATCCCAGGAAGGACCCTGGCTTCATGACCTGAGCTGAAGGCAGACGCTTAACTGACTGAGCCACCCCAGGCATCCCTAAACCTACCTCCTTGTAACTTCCATATATTCTATCTGAATCTTCACTCAAGGGACAATGTGGTATATAAAGCTGGACCTTAATCAGACCTGGGTTTCAGATAAGAACACACTGGCACGGCCATTGTGGAAAATAGTATGAAGTTTCCTCAAAAAATTATTAAAAGAACTACCATATGATCTGCAATTCCACTTCTGAGCAAATATCGAAAGGAATTGAAATCAGGATCCTGAAGAGGTATTCATAATACCCAAGATATAGAAATGACCTAAGTGTTCATCCATGGATGAGTAAATAAAGAAAATATGGTATATACATACAGTGAAATGTTATTCAGGCTTAGAAGAAAGAGGGAAATCCTGCCATTTGCAACAATATGGATGGACCTAGTGGACACTATGCTAAATGAAATAAAGCAAACAATGAAAGATATACTATATAATCTCACTTATGTGTATAACCTAAAATAATCAAGTTCATAAAGAAAAGAGTAGTAGAATGGTGGCTTCCAGGAACTGAGGAGAGGGGGGATTTGGGGACATGATGGTCAAAGAGTAGCAAGGTTTAGTTATGCAAGATGAGTAAGTTCTGGAAACCCACTATACAGCATTGCCGTAGCTATGTGTTAGCTAAAATGCCTATAGCTAACAATACTTTAACATATACTTAAAATTTTCTAAGAAGGGGGAAGCCTGCATGGCTCAGTCAGTTGAGTGCCTGACTCTTGGTTTTGGCTCAGGTCATCATCCCTGGGTGGTGGGATGGAGCCCCACATCAGGCTCTACACTCAGGGCGTACTCAGCATGCAGAGTCTGCTGGAGGTTATCTCCCTCTCCCCTTCCCCTCTGCTCCTCCCCCTGGTCCCGTGCAAGCACTCTCTTTAAAATAAATAAATAAACTCTTTTTAAAAATTTTTTCTAAGAAGGAAGATCTCATGTTGTGTTCTTACCATAAAATAAATAAATAACAACAACAATGATAAGAGAGGTGGGGGAAAACTTTAGGAGGTGATAGATATGTTTATGGTCTTGATTGATGCATACTTATCCCCAAACTCATTGGAGTTGTATACATTAAATTTGTATAGCTTTTTACACGTCAATCATACCTCAGTAAAGTAATTTAAAAAGTAAAAATATATTTAAAAAGAACACATTAGCCATTCTTCGTGGAAAGATTCTTTAAAATTAAACATAATACAGTTGAAAAAAATTCCAAAGAATAGTATCTTTAATGAGATTTTAATCATTGTCATTTTAACTAAGCTTTTGTTGAAATGTATTTATCAGTACCAGAAAAGTACACAGATATTATTTGTATATGAAAGCATATTTTAAATTCCATTTAAGCCCACTCATTTCATCTCCCACAGCTGCTTTTTTTTGTTTTGAAGAAAGATGAATAAGGAATAAATAGAAGGCCAATGTCTCAAATTGATGTAACCTGTATGGCCCCCTGAAAAATCCAAGCATGTATTCATATGTGAGAAAACTGTGCTGTCAAATACACAATCTCTCAATAGCTCAGGCATGAACTCATGCTTCCTACAAAAGAAAAGGGGGGAAAGGGGGCAAATTGCAGTTCTTGAGCTTGACACACCCTAGAGAAAACCCCAGAGAGAAGAGGGGATTGTATTTGTGCTCAGACAAGAAGGCAGAAGGTGCCAGTGACTGTAACATAGTGGTTCTGACATTTCGGGGGTTCCGGTCCTGATAAGATGTAGGGATCCCTACATGTGGTGCTGGAGTCACAGGGGGAAGCCTGAGACGGCTGCTTGGGGTGGATAATTGTATCTGTCTTTTTCCATTCAAGGTCCCCTAAGCATTCAGCTTCCCTGAGGGAAGCCAACCTCTCTCATCTTACTGTTTTTCCTAATCCATCTGTACAGTGTGTTCTGGCCCATGGGTGGGGTCAATCATACGTTAAAGAATCCTAGGGCTGAATGGAGAATTCGAGTTTCTCTGGTCTAAGCCTGTAATTTTCAGTTTTAGAAAGTCAAGGTCCACACAAGTGAGCGATGTGTCCAAGAACACACAGTCAGCTCTTGCACAGGTTCGTGTGCGTTGTTCATCCTGACTGCCGTTTTACATAAGAAGAGAAAGAGTATTATCTGGATTCGGGTTCGGCAGAACCGGGCGGGGGGCGCTGTGCTGGTGCCCGCGGCTGGGAGTTGAGGAGAGACGGTGCAGGGCCAGGAGAAGGAAGGTGCCGCCCCGCGGGCAGAGGCTCAGTTACGTGTGTTTGAACTCAGCCACAGCGGGCTGCGGGATTCCGCCCAGGGACCCGGGAGCCTACGAGGTCCCCGGGGCGCAGGGCCGTGTGCTGGTAACAGTGACGTCCTGCCCTCGGCACCTGAGCGCGCCGGCCGCGCACTCGCTCATCGTCTGCTCCACGCCGTCCACGTCCACGCAGACGCGAAAGCCGCCTTCCTCGCACTCCGAGGCTTCCCTGCAGACACACCTACCGCTCTGGGCTGGAAACATAAACGACGGAGGCTTAATGGCACGTGGTGGAGCGGGGAGAGTCCAGGCACAGAACCTCCAAAATTACGATGCTCTACAGAGATCTCTAGAAGCGCCTGCCTCGGGGGACGCAACCAGCCCCCCTGGGAAAGCAGTAGGACCGGGAAGGGAGGCATTTTGCTGCCCTCAGAATAAGCAGGGTTTGAGGCTGCCCAGGCCGATTGGCCGGACCCACGTGGGCCAGCTCTCTCCAAGTCAAGGGCTCCCCAGTCCTCTCTCCGTGCTGTCTAGGGAAGCCAGAAACTGAATATAAATCCCTCAACCCCTGACAGATAAGGAGACCTCAGCAAAGACCAAGTCGCTGCAAGGCTCAAACAAGGACAAAGAAAAGAATTCAATTCGCTTTGAGACATAGGGCATAAAACGCAAAAGGCCATATAGCCTGTAAAAATAAGCCAGAAATGAGTTGGGGAGGAATTCACTGTGTGCGCTGCAGGTGCCGGCCGGCCCACTGGTGACTGCCAATCCTAATGTGACCCAGTGGGTGGGGTTCAGTACGTCCTGGCTTGGGCCACGAACTGTCCAGGAGTGAGAGGAAAAGGACCCGGCTGATACGGGCCACGGGGAGGACATGAGTTGCTGGCAGAGATCTCACAGATCACACAGTCCAGTTCCCAAATTCCCACAGATGGGGAAACTGAGGGCAGTGACTTGGCTCCGGCCACCCAGGCTTCCCCCCTTAGTTATGTAGCAAAACTGGGAGGAAGGCCATGCAAGGGTGCTATTTAAGATCATCGTAAGTGCTACTTGGACTTCGCGCTGGCCAATCTCGAGCCACAAGCTGAAAAAGTAACTCCTTTTTCTATCGTCTTCAAATTCTTCTGATCACTTCTAGGAGAAAGTGTCACCTTGGCACTGACAGGCTTTTAACACTCCCCTAACACTTGCTAAACTCCCTTTCTCCCACAGAAGCAGTACCCCTCAAGCTGCCAGCCCCATCTGGCTACACTCTACAACCTTATTTTGTTTCTTTACATGTATTTTTATAGTTACCTAATATTTATGGCATGTGATAGTTCCTTTTAAGAAAGTGATAAGAAACTGTCCTTTTTTAAAAATAGGTATTTTTATGTGAGTCTATTTTTTAAAATGAATACATAATCTGGATAATACAAGGAGCAAAAACCATGAAGGGGAAATGGGAAGCACCAGGGTTTGGGAGGACATTCAAACCATCGAGGATGGGTTTTTGTACTCTTAGGTACTCGACTCGATCCCCCCGCCCCCCTCCCAGCTCCCCAGGGAAGGCTGTGGGCAAGGACAGTTCACTCTCAGACCAGTCTGAGACTTGCACATCCTCGGGGATCTGCTTGGATTTGCTGCTAAACTAGAACCCCCAGTTTTAAAAACCTCAGTACTACTACCTTCGCATTGTTGTAGTTACAAGTATGAAATGCCCCTTACCATCACATTTTCCCCAGAGTGGACAGGCACCACAGGCTTTCTCAGTGGGGACAGGCAGAGCGCAACTGTCCCTCCCAGCAAGGGTGTAATTTCTACGCTGACAGTGGAGAACATGCATCTTGCAAACTGTCAGAGGCAATATCCTTTTGCTTCTCTCATCTCGAGCACATACATCCAAGGAGGATCTGAAACAAATTCTTAAAATTACATTACTTAGAAGATTTTCAGTCTTCAAAATGGAGGATGAGAAATGAAAGGAGAGACTCTGAGCTCAGGGCCTCCGATGTTACCAGCCACAGCAAAAAAGATGGAGCAGAAACTCCAATTTCCTTCATGCCTGAGGGCTCACTGTCCTCAGATCTTCAAAATGAACATATTTTGCTATTTGCTCACAATTTTTACAAGCTTAGATATCTCGTGTTACTCTAGTTTCATCTAGAGCAGATCAGATACAGTGAATTAGAAGAGAAGGCAAGGTCTGCTCAGGATACTGGTGGGTTGACAAGCAGGAAGGAGGCAGAAAACCAGCAAAGATCACACACTCAGAGACTGTAGTCTGGTGGGACCGTTGACTGCAGGAGAAGTTAGGTCCTCCCAGCCTAGCAGCCCCGAATGGCATTGTCCAACACTTGATGACCAAATCCTCAAGAGAAGATGAAATCGTATTTTTCAATGGGATTTTTTTTTTTTACAGTATAGTTATCAAAATCAGGATTTTTAATATTGATACAATACTACTATCTATTTCACAGACAATATTTGTCAACTGTTCCCCAAATGTCCTTTACATCTCTTTTTCCCTCTCCAAAGTCCAAGGATCACACACTCCATTCAGTTGCCGTGTCTCTTTAATCTCCTTTAACCTGGACCAGTTCCTTAGTCTTTCATTGTCTCTCAAAAAAAAAAAAAACGAAAACAAAGTTAACATAATCAATGGGATTTTTTTTTAAAGATTTTATTTATTTATTCATGAGAGACAGAGAGAGAGAGAGGCAGAGGGAGAAGCAGGCTCCCCGCTGAGCAGGGAGCCCGATGCGGGACTCGATCCCAGGACCCTGGGATCATGACCTGAGCCGAAGGCAGACGCTTAACCATCTGAGCCACCCAGGCGCCTTCAGTGGGATTTTTTAAAGTATTGATGTTTACAAAGTAGTTTAGAAATATTTCTATAAAAATACGTTACTTTTTTTTTCTTAAGCATGCATGCTAAAATGGTGAGATTCGGCTTTTTGGAAAGGTCACTAATAAAAACAAACACCTTCCTGAATGTTCATAGACAAGGAAGGCATTACTGTAGTGAACCCTTAGACATCAAAGTATTTTTGTATGGTAGATGGAGTTTATATTTATTTTTATATGTAATTAGCCCTAATATTTTCTTCAGTACCAAGAGCTAAATTTACTTGGAGTTATTTACATCACAAAAACAAATCCTTGTATCTTTCTTTTATCTGCTTATTTAAGCTTTAAATCGAACTACTCAGAACAGCTCAAAGGGCAGAGACCTGGCAAAGCCACCTTGTTATCAGTATCTGATAGAAAGCTCACACCGTGTCTATAAACAGCAGGCTACAGATAAAGTAAATGAATCAGAGAAGTTGGAAAGAGGATGAAAATGAATCAAAGTCAAAAATGATTCATAAAAAAATAACACCACAGTCAGAACACCCTGGGCAGACGACCACTACAATTTACACTGTTTAGCTATACTTTTCTCGAAAGAAGTTACTTCTTATAAGATACTGCCACAATCGGGCGCCTGGGTGGCTCAGTTGGTTAAGCGACTGCCTTCGGCTCAGGTCATGATCCTGGAGTCCCGGGATCAAGTCCCGCATCGGGCTCCCTGCTCTGCGGGGAGTCTGCTTCTCCCTCTGACCCTCTTCCCTCTCATGCTCTCTATCTCTCATTCTCTCTCTCAAATAAATAAATAAAATGTTTAAAAAAAAAAGATACTGCCACAATCACCATTACCCACTGTAGGTGTTCAAGGAGTTAGATATGTGTCTCAGGGACAATAATTGAAAGCCAAGTACAGTTCACCCTCCAGCAACACTAGTTTGAACTGCACCGTGGGTCCACTTATACAGAGATTTGTTTTGATACAGACAGTACTATAAATGTATTTTCTCTTCCTTATGATTTTTTCAATAGTATTTTCTTCTCTATAGATCACTTTATTGTAAGAATATAGTATATATGCCTGGGTGGCTCAGTCGGTCAGGCGCCTGCCTTCGGCTTGGGTTATGATCCCAGGGTCCTGGGATGGAGCCCCATATCAGGCTCCCTACTCAACAGGGAGTCTACTTCTCCCTCTCCCTGCCACTCCCCCTGCGTGTGCTCTCTCACCCTCTCTCTCTCTCTCTCAAATAAATAAAAATCTTTTTTAAAAAAATATTTATGTTATTGGTAAGGTTTCCAGCCAATAGTAGGCTATCAGTAGTTAAGTTGTGGGGGAGTCAAAAGTTATACGTGGATTTTTGACTGTGTGAAAGGTTCTGCACTCCAACCCCCATGTTGTTCAAGGGTCAACTGTAATTGGTCAGTAATCGTATGTTTTGATTCAAACTTAAAGATGACCAATAAATCTGGGGGCCTAGATATCTCCCATTTGCCTCTCCAGATTCACTCTCCATTCTCCGCCCCACTGCCAGGAAGGCTGACACTATGAACCACTCCCTTATCCTCTAACTTCAGGCGCATTTGATCAATGGCAGGAGATTGGAGGGATGTTTAGTGCTGTGGCTCACTCCAGGGCGGGGGTGGGGGGGGCATTCTCTGAGGTTCCTAAAATGAGGGACTCAGCTCTTCCTCAGCTGCCATCTGCACAGTCTTCTCTGTCTCCAGCTTTGCATAAAAGCCCCTCTTGTCACTGCTTCAGGCCCCTGGCACAGATATGCACCCTGGCTGTTAGCAGTCAGGGAATACTGCCCCCTGGCGTGCAGTTTCCTTCCCTCTGCCCACAGGTCTATAAATAGTCCCGCTAGGAAACTTCCGCAATCAGACTACCTGTGTCCCACTAGGGCCATAACCCAGACATCTAGTACCTGCTTCAGCTATCCACCTACAGCAGAGTGATTGCAAGTTGGGTGGCATTCTTATAATGCCCATCTCAAGACACAGCCATTTCGAGAATCGGAAAAGCAGCTACTTGTATCTCTGTTGGAACACTGTGTAAGAGTTTATATTTCAAGGGAATTTCAACCCTAATTTCCTCAAGCTCTAAATCCTCGAGTGACAGTGTTTTCATTTTGCCCCATTTCATGTATAAAACAAGCAGTGCCCGAGCCCTTCAGCCTTTCTCTAGACGGAATAGAACACTGCTTAACGCCACTGGTTGCCAGCCCTGGTGACCCAGGCAAATAACAGACAGTAGATGGGCCAGGCTAAAACGCAAACAAAGATCCTTAACCCTTGGTCAGGAGCACCTTCGATCTAACAGAGAGACCAGCATCTACTGACACACTTTTTTTTTATCTTGAATAAAATAAAACAGAATAAAATAAAACAAAGAAAAATAAAATATAAAAATAATAAAATAAAAATAAAGCAAAAACAGAGCTTACCCACATTCATAGGGCATTTTACAAACACAACTTGAATTCTGCAGTTTCTCCCAGCGCTGACATTTGGGCACTGCTGGTGGCAAAGGGGCATCTGAAAGAAAAGGATAAGGGAGGTGCAGTCATTCAAAGAGCTGCTTTGTGGCAAGCAAGATGTTATTTTAATTATTGAACCAGGTTCTGTAATATTCTCAACTGCCACAAATTTGTACAGCCAAAAAACAAAGCTGTAAAGCATTTTACAGAAGACAGAGCATTCCTAGGAGTACCCTACAAATAATTTCATTGTTACCCTTTCTTGAGCATTTCCTGTTGTGTGAGCACTGACTATTGTGATATTTAATCCTCCATAACAGACGCCCACTTCAGAGTTAAAGACACTAAGGGACAAGGGCACCTGGGTGGTTCAGTCAGTTAAGCGTCTGCCTTCGGTTGAGGTCACAATTCCGGGGTCCTGGGATCAAGCCCCACATCGTGCTCCCTCCTCAGCGGGGAGCCTGTTTCTCCCTCTCCCTCCTCCTGCCGCTCCCCCTGCTTGTGCTCTCTCTGTGTCAAATAAATAAATAAAAATCTTAAAAAAAAGAAACAAACAAACAAAGGGTCAGAAAAGCTAAGAAACTGGTGCTAGTTCACATGTTTAACAGATTGGCCAAGGCAGGATTTAAGTCCATGTTTGTCTCAACTCAAGGCCAGGGGAGAAGGCTTCCTTTCATTAAGAAATTGCAATTTATAAACTGTTGTCTGGACTGCATTTTACCCACTCTGTCTATAGTGGGACAGAAAGCAACATAATGTGATCTATACATGGAGAACTCCCTGGTACCCCAAGATGTATAATAACCTCTCACATGTAAATGTCTAATTGGTTTCCCTTCAATAGTGAGTCAATATCTAGAGGTATTTACATTTAATAAAATCCTTTCCATTGCTTTTTGTTTTCTACAAACTGATCAAAGTCAACCATCATTCCAATTTTGACAGGAAAACACCTTGGTCCGGCTTACAAGAGCTTAATTTGACGGCCATCTCCTCATCTCCTCCTATCCCTGATTACAAGGTGAGTAGCCTAAAATATCCTGCTATTTCCACCTCCTGCCAACTTCATGACAATGGAATTCAGTGGCATATACTTTCCCATCATAAAACTAGTTCTATGTTGGATATATCTATAAAGGTAATTTATCTGAGGAGCATATTTTTATGGATGCACGAACTGTGCAATACTTCCTCACTTTGGAAAACTTAAGAGCTTTAGACATGACAGTAAAATCTCATGAACAATTCGTAACTTGTAAAAAATGGCAGCAATGTAAAGCATAGCCTGCCATGTCCAGCCACATCTGTAATGAGTACTCATTCTTTAAACTCTTCCCTTTAAAAGACTATTATCCTAAATGCAATGTAGTATTCTGAATTGGATCCTAGACCATTAAATGGATATAGTAGAAAAAATAAAATCTGTAGTTTAGTCAATAGTATTACACTAATATTAAATGTCTTAATTAACCCACTAAATTAGGTCAAGTTATATGAGATGTTAATATTATGAGAACATGGTAAAGGGTATACAAAAACTGTATTTGCGACTTTTCTGAAATCTAATATTATTCGAAAATAAAATGTTTTTTAAGGTGGTGTTCTCCAGGGAGCGCCTGGGTGGCTTAGTCAGTTAAGTGTCCAACTCTTGATTTCGGATCAGGTCATGATCTCAGAGTCATGAGATCCAGCCCCACCTTGGGCCACCACACTTAGCAGATTCCATCCCTCACACTCTCCCTCAGCCCCTCCCTCACTGAACAACAATAACAACAACAACAACAACAACAAAAAGGTGGTGTTATCTAGATCAGTGCTTCTCAACCAGTGGCAATTTGGCCATGTCTAGAGACATTTTTGGTTATCATAACCAGCGGTGAGGGGGTGCCACAAGCATCTAGTAGGTAAAGACCCGGGATGCTGCTAAATATCTTACAATGGACAGGTCAGGCTCCCACAACAAAGAATAACCAGGTCCAAAATTCCAATAGTGTTGGGGTTGAGAAAGTCTAATCTCAAATGTACCAAAACTAAATTCAATGATAAAGTCATATAAATGAGTTCTGTATTACGCTTAGAAGTTTATTTGCTAGAGGCAGGGGAGAGGGGAGGGGGAATGCAAAGAAGGTGGTCAAAGGGTACAAACTTCCAGTTATAAGGTAGATGGGTACTGGGGATGTAAAGTGCAACATGAAGACTATGGTTAACTGCTCTATGATATACGGTTAGGTTGTTGGGAGAGTGGATCCTGCGAGTTCTCACCACAAGGAGAAATTTCCTTTTTTTTTTATTGTATTTTCGCGAGATGATGGATGTCAACTAGACCTACTGTGGTAATCATCCCACAATAGATATAAATCAAACCATCATGATGTACACCTTGAACTTCTACAGCAATGTATGTCAATTATTTCTCAATAAAACTAGAAAAAATATTTTTTAAAACTTTATTTACTAATCATTCATAAGAATGAAATTCTAGATTTTAAATGTTTTCTAGAAGTTATTATAATTTCTTTATGAAAAATCACTCGTAGAATTAGCTAGACCAAAGACCTTTGCATTTAAGAACATATAGCTTGGTTATCTTCATATATCTTTACATCAAGACTACATATTGATGGAGGGAGGGAGAAATAAGTGGTTAGTGTTTAATGAGCACGGAGTGCCAGTTTGGGAAGATGAGAAAGCTCTGGAGATGGATGCTGATGATGGTTGCACAATAATGGGAATGTACTTAATGCACTGAACTGTACGTTGACAAATGGCTAAAATGGTAAATGTTATTTCTGTTTTACTGCAATAAAAATAAAAAGACTAACTACTGATAGCAGGCATTTTAAAACATCAGCCTTGGAGGCTGACAAACCTGGAGTTTTCTATTTGTGATAGGCTTATTTTAAGGGAAGTTACTATTCTTATTCATCATGTCTTCCGAAAAACACGCAGGCCTGAAAAATATCCTTAACTGAAACTTTAATAGGATTTGCTACTGAGTAGGAAAAAATTCATACTGCATTGTGCTACAAAATGACTGGAGCAGACATTTCAGAAAGACAAGTATGTAATATCTCCTTTGGAATGAAAGAGCATCCTCAGCAAGTGTACATTGTTCTCTTTAATTTTAGAATTCCTGGTACAGGTCCATTACTTCAAATGTCCCTGATAAATTCATATTGATGTGTCAGTGCAGTAGAAAACAAAGCACTTGTCTCTGCTGTGGACCTCTGACAGCTAACGAGCACGTGGGCACCAACATGGCAGGCACCCGGCTGGCCCTGCTGCCTCCTGATGATAATCAGTGTCTATATTTAACACCACAGCCCACGTCCACTGTCAGATGCAGAGGATTCTATACAGCCTGCCCTCTCTTTAGTTGTGACCATCTAATTCACCTGACGGTATCACTCACGGAATCTAGCACTTCATCCTCACCATAGAAGGCAAATTTTAGCATTGGATTAAAGTCATTCACCAGAAAAATAAGAATACCATATAAAATGGAATGTAAATGCATTTTCCTCCCTTCCTGTTTCTTAATTGTCACAAACATGTGTTTCCCATTTATTTTTAAAAATGTAAACAAAGAAGAAACAGGAAGTGATTTTAAAAAATCCATCCAGGGCATCTGGGTGGCTCAGTTGGTTAAGCAACTGCCTTCGGCTCAGGCCATGATCCTGGAGTCCCGGGATCGAGTCCCACATCGGGCTCCCTGCTCAGCAGGGAGTCTGCTTCTCCCTCTGACCCTCTTCCCTCTCGTGCTCTCTATCTCTCATTCTCTCTCTCTCAAATAAATGAATAAAATCTTTTAAAAAAAAATCCATCCTACCTTAAATACCTCTAAAAAGAAATGGTTTGGCTTTCTAAACGTCTTTTTACCGTAGCTTCTTAAAAGACCATTTTAATTTGCTTGGTGTTCAAGATACTGAATTTTTGGATTTCCACTATTAAGAACATCTTCACAAACCACCACACTTTGCTTTCAATAACTTCTGCTTTGCAGTGTTAAGTGTAAATGCTTCTAAATTTTCTATTTCAATAATGCTAATAAACTCTCTGAAAGCCCAGGAGTGAAACATAGATTTTTTTAATAAATTTTCAACTCAACTCTATACTTAATAAAAGTACATTCCAAAAATCTGGAGAAAACCAGAAATTATTTTTTAAAAATCCTTTATTTTCTTGGCACCAAAACTTATCTAATCTTCGGTAAGAAGGATTTAAGTTAGTTTCAGAATCACCAGGGCTCTCCTTGCCGTTCCTTGCATCCCATGAGTCTATCTGTGCCATGTGAAAAAAAGTCTGTTATCCAGTCTACAAACTGACCTCCTTGTAGAGGGGCAGGGATGGAGGGAATGACTCACAGTTATGTCCATCCAGTGCCATAAAGGACTGTCACAAGGACCCTCACTCACCTGAGTGCAGGTGTCCTTGGACAGACCTATGAGCTACTCACCTTTTTGCACACACTGAACACTCTTCATATCAGGACTCCACTTAAGGCTGGATCCACAGAGAAATGCTGAAGGACCTTCTAAGGACATGCCACCTGAACAGGAAATGGTCACCTTCTCACCAACTCCATAGAACGGTTTGTGGGGATGACTCTGTATGCCATCCATCAATGCAGGTAGAACGCAGGCAATTTCTAAAGATAAAAGGAAACAGAATACAAGGGTCATTGCTTTCCTAAGCCATCTTTTTTTTTAAATGATAGCTTTGAATGGTGCTAATACACATGCTCTGCTTTTGTCACATTAGAGGACAAAGAGGAAGAGGTAAGTTCACTCCTGGGATACCCTGAAAGACACGCCCCACAGTGCCTGGCATGTAATTGACCAACGAAAGACTGAAGACCAAAACAGTTCCCATCCTCCACCCCTACCCTCAAAGCAACACGCCCACTTAAAATGAACCAGACTTATAAACAGAGTCCTAAAGCCCAGGCTGCTGTGTAAACCACGATTTTCACAGCTGCCACTTGTCTCTTGGGTCTGGCGACGTCCCACCGGAATTTTCCCAAAAGCACTATTCATCTGCATATCATCAACATATTTCCAATTAGATATTTTTACTATCTGAAAGTTTTAAAGAACCACCTTTAACCTTACAACCATACAAGTATTAAATAGTCTTTGGTTTTCCATCTCTAGTCTTTCTCACTTGATTACATTCATTAGCTCAAATCTTCTACTTGAGAAAACAGCAAAAGAGAAAAATGAGAAACTTGCATAGTTATGAGACGCAAGTCATAATTTATGATTTAAAAAAAATCTTGGCAATCTCTCTAATGGACTTTGGACAATATTCTACAAAATCCTGCTCTGTTTCTTTACCATTTCCATCAGAAACTCCATTTATTCATTAATTCATAAACAGCATCTATTGAGTGCCTATATTTAGCCAAGTATGTTGTGTGCTGCTGGGGATGTAACAGATACAAGTCTACAACATTTGGTAATACCTTTCTCCTTGAGGTATCTGTAATTTGAAAAAAAAAAAAAGCTGAAAGACTGCTAAACTAAGGAGGAACTGCAACTCAGAGGCTGAAAAGCTGGTAGTTTTTAACAATCTTATAGGGCTGGGGCGCCTGGGGGCTCAGTCGTTAAGTGTCTGCCTTCGGCTCAGGCGGTGATCCCAGGGTCCTGGGATCGAGCCCCACATTGGGCTCCCTGCTCCTCAGGAAGCCTGCTTCTCCCTCTCCCGCTCCCCCTGCTTGTGTTCTCCCTCTCCCGCTCCCCCTGCTTGTGTTCCCTCTCTCGCTGTGTCTCTCTCTGTCAAATAAATAAATAAAATCTTTAAAAAAAACAATTTTATAGGGCTAAGGGATCAAGAGTTAGAGTCTACTCCCATCAAAAAGAAGGAACCTAGGGAGAAATCCCAGACTTTCTATTGGGATCCCTTAATGGCTACACCCTAGGAATAAAGGTAAACAAGATATAAAACAGCCTCACTGCTTGCCAGAAACAAAATCAAATCTTTTCTAGAGGAAGAGAAGAACATCACCCAAAACCTCAAATGATTCCTTTATTTTTTTACACATCAAGTCTGGCATTTAATCAAAACTAATCGAACATTCAAAAGGACAAGAATTAAATAAACTCCCCAAAAAAGACAATAGAAACAGATCCACAGCAGGTCCAGATATTGGGATTAACAGCAACGGACCTTGAAATAACTGTGATTAACATGTTGGGAAAAATTAAATAACAAGGTGCAGAATTTCAACAGAGAATAAGAAAGTATAGAAAAGTGGACAAATTAAATACCTAGAATTGGAAAATGAAATTAAGAACACAACAGTTCTTAAAAGCAGATCATATACAACTGTATAGAGACTTAATAAACTGGAAGGTAGATCAATAGAAAGTATTTAGAATGAAACAGAGAGGGTGACTGGGTGGCTCAGTGTTAAGTACCTGCCTTCAGCTCAGGTCATGATCCCAGGGTCCTGGGATGGAGCCCTATGTCTGGCTCCCTGCTCAGCAGGGAGCCTGCTTCTCCCTCTCCCTCTGCCTCTCCCCCTGCTTGTGCTCTCTCTTTCTCACCTGCTAGCTCTCAAATAAATAAAAAATAAAATCTAAAAAAAATCATTTAGAATGAAAGAAAGAGAGGGGAAAAATGATGTAAAACAAAGAAAAGAATGTAGGTAATATATACAGTCTGAAAAATACATCATTTGTGTCTCACAAGGAGAAATGAGCAAGAAAGGGACAGAGTCAATGAGGACACAGTAGTCAAGAATTTCCTAAAATCGACAAAAGACAGTAAAGCCAGATTCAAGAAGTGCTTTGAATATCAACCAGGGTAAAGACAAAGAAAATCACATCTAGGCACATCACAGTGGAGGTGCTTCTGAGACACAAGCACTGGGGAAAAAAGGAAATTCTCAAAAGTAGCTGGACATAAGATTTTCAAACCAGAAACAATAAGACTCAGAGTAAATGTCTCACTAGAAAATAGTGAAGTCAAAAGGCAAGGAATAAAATCTTTAAAGGCCTTAAGTAAAATAACTGCTAACCTAGAACTCCTTACCCAATAAAAATATCCTTCAAAAACAAAGATAAAATAAAGACATTTTAAGATGAACAAAGACTGGGACCATTTCTTATCAGTAGATTCACAATAAAGGAAAAAAGCTCTTCAAGCACAAGCATCTTATTCAACATTTTGAAGAACTAACTTTTGGCTTTATCACTCCGAGGTAGGAAATGTTTATATTCTATTTCAGTAATTTCTGCTCAAGGACTCCAGGAATGAGAGACAGACAGAGACAAGGACAAAGAGGAAAAGAAGAGGTTCTACGGATCAAAAAGAAGAAGACAAAGAGAAAATAGGGGCCAAAAGTTGAACAGTCACTTCATCAAAGAGGATATGCAAATGGCCAATAAACATGAAAACAGGCATGACATCACAGTCACCAGAAAAAAATACAAATTAAAAAATAAGATATTGCTACACACTCACCAGTACAGCTAAAATTTTTAAAAGAATGATGATGTCAAGTGTTGGTGAGGATACAGAGCTATCTTGGCTTCTCAGATTCTGGTAGGGATGTACGTTGGTACAACCATTTGGAAAACTGGTATCATCTACTAAGTCTAAATGTATATACACCCTATGATTCAAAATTTCACTAAGAGATGTAAACCCAAGAGAAAAAAATGTACATGTGTACACTAGGACTTTTTTCACATCGCATAGACCAACTGATAGAGGAAAAATATGTCTCTACAGCTCTATCCATCCACTGAACCAACTTACACCTCAGTACAAATGAGATTGAAGGCCAACAGGAGCATTAGCTTGGTTAGCAGAAGCACGTACTCAGGTGCCTACATCTGAACAGAATAGGACCCAAAGCATTTGAAGAAGTACACTGATGATGGTACATCCCTAGAAATTGAATTATAGAGGATATTCTGAAGGTCTGCACCAGACCTGAGCTCCCTGACCTATTCTAATTTGCACCAGAAACTTTAAAATTGCAGTAAAATGTGCCTCCTTTAACAGGTGCACTATCAGCTAGAGAGTGCTGAGGGCTTTTTCAAGACACAGCTGAAACTTGGACAGGATCATATGAGCCTCTCAGGAAAGGGAAGTCAAGACACGGGCCGCACAGTGAGCAGTGATTCATCTTGATTCATTCTCTTCCCCATGATTATCTCATCTTAAGTTGTATACTACAACCAAGGCCACTCACTCTGACAATGCATTTCTCCAACAAGCCACCGTAAATCGTCTCCGCATCTGGCTACAGGGTCTCCAATAAGAGAGTATCCTTCATCGCAAGTATATACTACGTTTTTCCCAACAGGAAACATCGCACCTTCATCCTAAACAGAGATAAAAGAGAGACAGAGAGAAAAAAGTATGTCTATTGTGCATTAACAAAATGTTTCTTTAGATATATTTGGCCTATAAATCATGCCTTCTTTTAATCATCAGGCAAACTAAGTTCAAATAACTAATTTAGAAAATTGTCTATAAAAACATTTTTCCCATGGGGGGGGAATCGGAGGGGGAGACAAACCATGAGAGACTATCGACTCTGAGAAACAAAGAGGGTTTTAGAGGGGAGGGGGAGGGGGGATTGGTTAGCCCGGTGATGGGTATTGAGGAGGGCACATACTGCATGGAGCACTGGGTGTTACACAAAAACAATGGATCGTGGATCACTACATCAAAAACTAATGATGTATTGTATGGTGACTAACATAACATAATAAAATTTAAAAAAAAATTTTTTTCCCTGTACGGTCCTAATCAACAACACTTGTACTACCATTAATTGAAATAAAGCCATTAACGCTACTCTACTATAATTTATCGATTGTCCCCAAGATACCAAGCACAGTTGTAAGCATTTTACTAAAATTACTTTAGTGGACACTGCCCAAGTCACTTTTTTCCCTCATCTTTCAGGAAAAGACAGTTTGTTTTCAGATTTTGGAAAGGTACTTGTCAGTCAATTCTTCACACTAAGATGTTATGGGCTCTTCATTAGCAATACTGCTAATAAAAGCCAGTAGGAACAGACAGAAATGTTCAGATCTTATCAGCGTGTGCATGAAAGTTTAAGTTTCTCATTGATGACATTTAGAGGAAGCCGAATGCTGATCTTCTCCCATTCCATCCTCCAACCCCTACCCTGTCTGGGAAGTGCTGCTGGGACTGGGCCAGATTCAAGCACATGGTGTTGGCCAGTGATCCCAGGAGGTGAGCTTTCACAGTGAAGCAAGGAAGAATTTGAAGTCTAAGACCTAAGGATGTGATCATGCTCTTCTGGGGTTTCTCTTAGTTCCCTTCCTCATCTTTTAGGAATGACCCCAAGGGGAGGGTTGGGAGCTGGACCTATTCTGCTCTAGGCATTAGAATAAAATCCCATGGTGCCTTTTTCTCTTCACTGTCAGTCCTGGCTCAGGCTGGCTCCATCGTGGGAGTTGGTAGGAAACAGAGGGCCCAAGTTAATACTGAGGTTTGAAGAAAATGGGGAAGGACACTTGATTTGTTATGGTGCTAGTCTCTAGGCCTCCCTTTGCCTTGCAAAGGGGACTGCTATATGGGGAAGTTGAACTCAACAGTGCCCAAACTTAACTCTGTATCAGAACAACTAGTAGCAATTAAAAAGGGGTGGGGGGGAACCTGGGTGGCTCAGTTGGTTAAGTGACTGACTTCAGCTCATGTCATCATCTCAGGGTCCTGGAATGGAGCCCCATTACATCAAGCTCCCTGCTCAGCGGGGAGTCTGATTCTCCCTGTCCCTGTGCACCCTCCCCCCAACTCATGCCCTCTCACTCTCTCTCTCAGAAAAATAAGTAAAAACTTAAAAAAAAAACCCACAACTCTCAGGCTCTACCCTAAATATACAGACTGAGAAAAAAATGGAAGATAAGGGACAAGCAGCAATCTCTATTGTTAAGTTCCCTGGGTGATGCAGCCCATCTGTGGGGCAGTGTTCAGAACCCCTGGCTCCTTACAGGACACACATGCACTGGAGTCTGGGACAACAGTTCATGATTTGCTGAACCACACAAATTTGCTTGGCCTTGTTCTCCAAGCCTATGTTTCCTTCAGGAATTTTATGGATTGTGGTAACTGTATTGGGACATAGGAGTGTTAGAGAGGCTGGGTTCATTCCCCTGTCTCTCTCTCTCTCTCTACACACACACACACACACACACACACACACACCTCTTCCATTTCCATTACCTACGTTTGGGAAAACTTCAGCGAAATATCAGTGAGCATATGTTTAAGGGCCTGGAATTTGAAAGGCAAATCCTTTGCGGAGAAAGCAAGACTGGCAGCACTGAGAGGGTCCTGATGGACAGTATGTCTTATGTGAGCCAGAAAGACACTTCACTGCTTGGGGCCAAAGCCTCATCATAACAAGCAGTGAGAAGAACATGAATTAATATGGCCCAAAAGCCAAAAAAAATTCCCTAGAATGACAAGTGGCAGATGACTTGTGTTCCTTCCTGAACGAGAAAATTTGCTCAAAGTATAATGACCCATATCTCACCAACACTGGCAAAATGTCTTACCGGCTTCTGGAATAAACCCACTTTTCATCCCAAACCTCATATTTATGAAAAAAAAATTTAAAGACATTTTCCAGTGGCAAGAATAAAGTTCTCTTTGTTGAAGAACGTGCTTATGGATTCCTATTTTAGTGTTCAAAATGGAAATGTTCAGCAGCCCTCTGGCATGATTACATTTCTAATTTCATTGGCAGCAGTATTGATTTACCTTACCACAGAAGATATACTGCCTTCTGCAGAATTCTAATCACCTTGGGCCAAAGAAGAAAAGTCACAAACTAAAACCCTCACCACTAAAACTAAAATGCACATATAAACTATTTTTAAAACTGTTTCATCATGGAAAAAGGAAATAGATTATGACATCAGTAGAGAGAGAGAACTTGGAGCAAAGGGTATATATGTAAAGGAAAATAATATATCTTCCATAACCAACTTGAACAAATCCATCTTTCAAGGCAGGAGGTGATGGACAGAATTCTTTTGGAGCCAAAGACAAAGGAAAACAATGTGGTTCAAGCAATCTGAAAGGAAAAGGAAACAAAACATAATTAATGTGATGGATTTCCACAGAATAATAAATATTTTGCAGCACAGTGAGCTTTTCATTTACATCTGAAGGGACTCCATTCACATAAATACATTGATGTGATTGCCATTCTCAGAATCGATATCTGATCATATCCTGTACTAGAAAACTCAAACATAAACTCAAGCTTCCAAAAAATAGCTAGTAAGTCAATAGTATGAAGAACAAAAAGAAAGAGAAGAAAATAGAAGTCACTGGACAACACACCTACTTTATGTGATTTCTAGAGGTCACATCTCATACCTACTTTTTCTCCTGCTGTCTGGTTCTGAAATGCCTTTAACACAGAATTAATTCTGTATTCAGAATAAGGCAAGGGGCTCCTGGGTGGCTTAGTCGTTGGGTGTTTGCCTTCAGCTCAGGTCATGATCCCGGGGTCCTGGGATCGAGCCCTGCATCGGGCTCCCTGCTCGGCAGGAAGCCTGCTTCTCCCTCTCCCACTTCCCCTGCTTGTGTTCCCTCTCAAGCTGTCTCTTTCTCTCTCTTTCAAATAAATAAATGGATAAAATCTTTAAAAAAAAAAAAAAGCCAACTGAACTACACAATCATTTAAAAATAAATAAATAAATAAGGCAATAACACTGATCCTGCAAGAGAGGTAAAACAAAAATAGTAACTAGCTTTGACCGAGCATTTATTATGTGCAGTCGCTCTACAAATGCGCATTATCTCTACTCACATTCACTGTAGCCCTAGGAGGTATGTGAAAAAAACAATGGCTCAGAAAGTTTGAGTGACTTGTCCAAGGTTATAAAGTAATAAATATCAAGGCTGCATTCACACTGTAGTCAGTTAGGCTGCTAAAGTCATGCTCTTTCTACCTCCCACAAGGCCATCTCTAGACAAAGCTCCTAATAATAGTCACAGTGATATCCAACATTAAACAATAGTTTTCAGTAGTACCTCTAAAGCCAGCATGCCACCAGTATTACCCCCACCCCAGAGATTTGAACTCTGAGGGAAAACATGACAAATGGCCTCTGAGTGTTGCCTCCTCCCCAGCTGAGTTCCTTATACGCTTGCCATATTCTGAGGAAACTCAGAAATGTGAAATCTTGGTTGTAATTCTCCTCTTTGTACTGAACAGGAGGAGGAGATTTCCCCTCTGAGCACCAAGAGCGAGAATTCCTTCAATGCCTTCCTTAGGATGCTCCTTTCCCTCCAGCTTTCTGTCTAGAGGCAGGGGAAATATGGCCACTCTGGCAGAGGCCTTCTCCAATGGAGACCCTCATCTTCTCCTCCTACCATAAATCCATATGCTCACCAGCCTCCTGGTCATGAGATATTCATTATTATTGGATTATGAAGCACCAAACACCTAGGAAAAAGGCATCCCACCTCCCTATGTTTCTACCAGATACCCAACTATCTTATAGCTTTCTTCAACTCACATGACCTTCGAATTATCTTACTAGAATGTTTTGCCAATCCCTGATCAAAAGAGGTTAGTAAAGACAGTGTAAAACAGTAAGGAATGGCCTGAAGAATTCTGACCAATGGGTATAATTCATCAGCTAAGCATTTTGAGATAGCTTTTGCAAAGTCCTGGCAAATGAGAAGTTGGTGTCAGACAGCTGGGCTAATCAGTCTAGATATTAGCCATCTCAAGCCTCTGGCTTTATGCTTACTCCTGAATAAATGAATGAATGAATGAATGAATGAATAGGATTGGTATATCTGAAAAGTAATATAACTATTAATGAATGCTTCTATGTGCCAGGCTGTACTGATCACTTTCTGTGCTGAATCTCATTTAATTCTGACAATATCCTACCATTGTTTTACCTTCTATGATTATACTAATTTTAGAGGTGTGGCAAGTAACTTGCCCAAGGTTACCCAGCAAGTAGGTGGCGGATCTGCTTGATGCCAAAGCTACTCGGATCCCCTTGGCCAGATGGCCTCCCAGTTACCCAGCCTTCTGTAACATCTGTGTCAGGAAAACTTGAAACACACAAGTGCTAGTTGGTTACACATGTCTCCCTCCGTCAAGTGACCCCACTGCTAAGGGCAAAGTAGTCACTGATAAAAATCGCCATTTAACTTCTAAATCTTTGAATAGCGGCAATCGCGTATCCCACGCTTACTGCCGAGGGCACTGTGTTCTATGCAATTGCCAGGACGTCCGGCCGCCATTACCGCAAATGCTCCAGCTCCTCCTGCTCGCATGGGCTGCTTTCGGACGGTTCTCCAATACAGGATCGCCCACCCTCACTGGGCGGTGGGTTATTGCATTCTCGTCTCCTTGTTTTCTTCCCTTGAACACAGGGGCCCCAAGAGGACCAGCAACTCCAGCCCCCATCCACTCCTCCTGTAAGATAAGAGAGGGGTGGTTCAGAAAGCCTCGGAGAGGAAGATTTCAGAGTTTAGTGCTGAGCTTCCCGCTGAGGCGGTTCCTGGGGGAGGGGACGGTCTGGGCACCCACTCCCTTCCCTCGGTTCAGGAGGTCTTCTACACTGACCAGAATGTCCCTGCACCCCGACGAGATTTGTCCAGGTTAAGGCTGCGTTAACGAGCTTCTTGCAATAATATCTTAAATTTGTTCATTATTTTGCAACTGTTTCAGAGCACTTTTACAGACATCCTACCATTCATTTCCTTCTCTCCGGAATGAATCGAAATGGGCAGGAGGTCTGTGACCATTCTCAGTTGATAGGTGTGGAATCTAAGACAAGGTGGTTAAACGTCATGCCCAGTGCCCTAAGGGCTGCCAAGAGCCACGTCCAGACAGCAACATGGCCTTACCGCGGAGTCCAGGCTCCTCTCGTTACAGTAGTTCCTATTGTGAACCTTTCTATTGTAAAAGCAGTGATGGGGCATGAGAACATAATCTACTGAGTATTCCCTACTCCCGACCCCGGAGCTGCCACTATTAAATGAGGAAGTGCCTAAGCAGGAGAAATGCATCTGCCTCCTGTCCACATCCTTCAGTCCGCAGGCACTTGCTCAGCCCAGGCTGGCCACCTTCCAACTCAGGGCCAATTCACCACTAACAGTGCTTTTACAACTTCCCCCATAATATTCCTTGGGGGAGGCAAGAGAGAACTTGCACTATAGTCTAAAAACTTGGCTTTCCTAGTTAGAAACTGATCTCAGAAACCATGCCGCCGAAGCATTACTTCCTGATGATAGACTGCTCCTTAGCTATTTCTACTGTGTGACCCACTCCTCAGTATCACACACACCAAAACTAAACTAATTTTGTAATATTTTCCCATGAGCTTCCTTACGCTTTCTTCCATAATTAGAAATTGAGTTAATAAAGTAGTCCCCTGAGCATATTAACAGGGAGTAATAATAGCTTGATATATTATGATTGTTACCCCAACCCTTACCAGCAGGGGGAGCGTCCATTTTCTCAAATAACATGAAATCCAAGCCACAAAGAAATGAAATCAAAGTGGTGGAATTTCAATTGACCAGACAGGCCACTTGGGAAGAGAATTGGAGGCAAGGATGCCTTCTTGATGCTTGTCTATAAGCAACCATAGTTTAGTCATGTAGTCATTCATTCATCAAACATTTATTAAGTGACTTCTGTGAATCAAGCCCTGTTGGGCTCTGGGATAAAAAAAAGCAATCATCGTTCTGACCTTAAGAAATGAGCTGGCTAAAGGAGAGAGACATATAAATAAATACAAAATTGTCTCAAACGTTGTCTACTCATAAAGTCAACCTCACATAGTTCTATACTAAAGTACTTAAAGTACCAACCATTCAGTTGGACACATTCAGCAGATGTTCAAAAGTATTTGTGAATAATTGATTGATGGAACACAATATAAAATAAAAAGATATTTCAAAGAGCTTACCATCAGAAAGGTTAAGCTCTGCATACACCAGCTCCACAGACCTATGTTATGACAAAACTTTAATGAGATGACTATGGAAGGACAGAGGTGTTTTAGGCATTAATCCATTCCAATGGAGAATGAAGAATGGAGGGCATGGTGGGTCTGTTAATTAAGACAGGAAAAAGAAGGGCTCCTGGGTGGCTGTCGGTTGAGTGTCCAACTCTTAATTTCAGCTCAGGTCATGATCACATGGTCGTAAGAGCGAGCCCTGCCGTCCCCAGGCTCCATGCTCAGCAGGGAGTCTGGCTTGAGATTTTTCTCTCTCTTCCTCTCCCGCCCCTCCCCCTCCTTGCGTGCACACTCTCTCTCAAATAAATAAATAAATCTTAAAAAAAAAAAAAAGACAGGACAACAGAGACAACAGAGGGTCTTGACCCAGTAGCTTGAACCCTGAAGTGGAATAGGAAGGGAGACACTAAATTAAAACGTCCATACACAAAGAAGCACAATGTCAAGGGCCAGACGGAAAGAGTGATTCCCTTTTCACTGTGTCCAGCATAACCAGCAAAAATTCAGCACACTGACCTGCTTCATTCCCTACGAGGACTCCTTGCTCACAAGCCACACCAAATGTATACGGTTTGCAGTGGCACTGACATTGGGTCCCCTCAACGGTGGCAATGCCACCATTTTGACAAGGTCGGCAATGGCAGGGGTCAAATTCATCCAGATATTCCTCAAGAGCTCGCTTCAGGTATAGTCTTTTCACGGAGGCACAGGGTACTTCCTTTACCAGCTCATACAAGGGCGTCAGCTATACAGATAAAGACATCATGGTTAGTAATCAGGGTTTTAGGCAAGAACATTTTCTTCTGGCATTTAGGATCAATTCCCGTTAAAATAAAATAAAAAGCCACTCATGTTAATTCCAATTGTTTCTTGTTCAAATAAAAAGAAAGCAATTCACTGTCTTTGCAAGGCAAAACAAAAAATTGGAATGAATAAGGAAGAAGTATTTTGCATAAAATTTTTCAAAACCAACAGGACATCCATTTTCTAGTTATTGAAAGATTATTTTGAAGGCAGTACATTTCCACCCTTGCAGAGGACAGAAGAAAAGGAAATACACTTAAATTACAGTGAAGAAGCAAGTGCAAATAAATTTACAATTAAATACCCTGACTCTAAGAGACTTAACATGTCTCTTAATGGAGACCGTGACTATTTTTCCCAAAAGAAGTTTAAAATAGAGTGCAAAGCTCCCAGATAGACAGGGCAACCCTCTCGGGCCCCCTCCCTCTTTGGGAGCTTTGCACTCTATCATTCAATAAGCTTTACTCTCGCTCAGTAAACCTTGTTTTGCTGCCCCCCAAAAAATAAAATACAAATAATAAAAATAAAACAGGCATTATTGTTCTGTGTTGAATACGTCTAATGAAAAGCAACTTGGAGACCCTAGATGTGCTGGTTAAGCTTTAACAATCTGCTCTCCTAAGAACAAAAATGCTCTGATTTGTAGCATTTGCCAGTTTCTGCAGTATAAGAACTCTCCCCATGGCCAATCTCAGGTTGCCACTGGAATGCCAATGACTGTGGACTTGGGAAGATATAGGCACCACTGGCTCTTGTGAAGGTCCGTCTGAGCTGACGGCAGCACATCCCTGCAAGGATGAAGATAACTCAAAAACTCAGCCACATCTCCCTCCATCTCTGCCCGAGCTCTCTCACACCGCATTATGAAAGAACAGACTGCATGGCCTTGCACGGACATACACCCATAATGAGTTAGCCCAGCTACCTATGATAGTTACAGTCTGATGTGGAGAAGAGCAGAGGTGAGAATGAGAAGGAATGTCTGTTTCTCCCTAATCAACAATTTCGAATTTTTCAAGATTTGTTATGGGGCTCTGGTATTGAAAATAGGTCATTGTGAATATCGATGGTGGCACTTTAGGATAAGACCTGCTGGGAAAACTACCCTCCTCCCTTCAGCCTTATTCTGAGGCAAGTGGGTGCATGTGGTGTTAGGAGGGTGCTCAAGGAGCTATTGTGATTTGGGGTTTTGTAAAATGTATCCAAGTTTCATCTGGGATGTTGCTTGATTCCCATGACAGAGAACAGATCAGAGAATCAGTTCTGCTACAGCATTTGTTTTGAAAATGTGAGTTTGTTGCATTGAGACAGATGTATTAGGGAACACTATGATCGTATTGCAAATTTTGTGTGTTCTTATGTACAATTTCATCCACAAGAAAAACCAGGGGAATTCAGAGAAGTGGACACAACCCAAGATAGGATTGCACAAAACGCACACATACAAATACACACTTCAGACATCATCAGGGTCACTGCCTGTACTAACCTTCACCCATCCACATCTGGGGCTACAGCTCTCTGTCCTCTGGTAGCTCTCCTTCTAACGCTTCACAATCATTCAGAAGCTCCAACCCTTCCACCACCCAGCAACCTTCAAGTCTTTTTCTAGGAATTGTGCCACCTTAATGTAGTAAATGCATTTCTTAACAATTTAACACATAGAAAACCATGCTATTGTTTTTACTAATGTCTGTCCTTTTTCTTTTAATGAGTTATCACAGATAAGTTTTTGAGTTTGGTGTCCTTAACCCCATTTTCCCCATAAGCCAGGTGGTCTTTACTGTGCAATTCTGCCTCGTTCTCTGATTTTTAGAAGCACATATGTTGCATTATAAAAGAAATGATTGTGTCAATAAAACATCCTAAAATTCGGCCAGACAAATTTGTTCTTTCTTAATGTACACGTCTCCAAGAGCCTGTATGTCACAGCCAGAGGAAGAAAGGTAATCTGATGGGACAGTAGACAAACCTAAATGCTTTCCTCTTGCAAGAATCTATAATTCTTCTGAATAAGAAACCAAGGAAAACATAATCAAATTTTGGTCAAAAGCTTAATATGCAAATTTCGTTATTAATTTCTCTTGGGATTTACAAGACATTTAACCCTTACAATTGAATTATGGACATAGAAGATAATGAAGCTTCTGTTTATTATTATGTATGCATTCATTTCACTATACAAAACATAATTGGGATGCAGAAAATGCTAATTACAGCTGTCTCTGTTTAACCACCTTGATTTAATCTCATTTTCCCAGTGCGAAGAAACATGCCTGCTTTGTGCTGCTTTCAACAGAGCAGGACATACCTTTTGTTTTATGACTTGGGGAAGACCAGTCACAGATTCTGCCCAGGAAGAATATCGCTGTTTGTTTCCAGCAGGATTGTCCAGCTCCAGGAAACTGAGGCCAGACACGAAGCCTGAACCTCCCCCCGTGACAAATGGGTCCCCTCGCAGCACGTTGCCCTGAGTTCCTACGCAAGGAGAAATCAAATCAAGTAAGTCAGGATGCACAAATGAAACAAAAAGGAGAATATAAAAGTGAAAAGTCTATCAAGCACTAAAACACAACCCATCCAACTTTATGACGTTTGGGAAAAGGAAGAACTATAGCGACAGTAAAAAGATCAGTGATTGTCAGCAATGGTGGGTGGGAGGAATAAATAGGTGGGGCACGGAGGATTTTTAGAGCAGCGAAAATGCGCTGTATGATCCTATATGGTGGATACATAGCATTAGACATCCGTCCACACCCATAAAATGTACAACACCAAGGCTGAACTTGAACATAAACTATGGACCGTGGGTGATCATGATGTGTCAATGTAGGTTTATCAATTGGAACAAACATTCCACTGTGGTGGGGAACGCTGATCGTGGGGAGGCCTCAGTTTCTGACAGGACTACATGGAAACTCTTTGTCCTGTTTGCTCAATTGTGCTGTAAACCTAAAACTACTCTTTAAAAAAATGTCTATTAAAAGAAAAGAGAAGGCACACTGGCTGGCTCAGTCGGTGGAGCGTCCAACTCTTGGTTCCAGCTGAGGTCATGATCTCAGCATTGTGGGATCGAGCCCCGCATTAGGCTCTGTGCTCAGCGCAGAGTCTGCTGAGGATTATCTGGCTCCCTCGCCCTCCGCCCCTCCCCCTGCTTGTGCATGCACAGGAACACACATGCTTGTTCTCTCTCTCTCTCTCAAATAAATAAATAAAATCTTTTAAAAAATAAAATCTTAGGGGCACCTGGGTGGCTCAGTTGGTTAAGCGACTGCCTTCGGCTCAGGTCATGATCCTGGAGTCCCGGGATTGAGTCCCGCATCGGGCTCCCTGCTCAGCAGGGAGTCTGCTCCTCCCTCGGACCCTCTTCCCTCTCGTGCTCTCTATCTCTCATTCTCTCTCTCAAATAAATAAATAAAATCTTTAAAAATAAATAAATAAAATCGTAAAAAAAAGAAAACCACAATCATTACCTGAAAGTAGATGATATTAGGGAATTATTGTTCATATTCTTAATGTTCTTGGTATAATAAGAGCATTACGTTATATAGGAGACTGTATTCCTTCTTAGAAAATATATGCATAAATTTTGGGATGAAGCATCATGAAATTTACTTCTAAATGGTTCAGGTAAGATTATAAATATTTTAAATATATAATATTTATATATTGTTGAATAATCCACATTATAAATATTATATGTCCATTATATACAGCAAAATGTCATAATAATCGTTACATAAAGGAGGTGGGTATATGGGTATTTATTACTATGTTCTTTCTGTTTGTTTGAAAATTTTCATAATAAAATGGGGGGAGTTCATTGCATCTGGAATACTAACAATAAGCAAAAAAGCTATTAATTAACAGGCATACATTAACACATGAAAAGTGTTCTAAGCAGTGAATATTAATTGAATTCTTTTCCGCATTTATTTGCCCTAATATTTCAGAAATCTTTTTGTCTCCATTTGTGGTTGATTTTTACACTGGTCATGACTGGAAATTCCTACCTCGCAGACCAGATTTGGAGTAATTTTCAGTTCACTTCTTTTAACTAAATTTTGCAATTTCATAAAATTTTCATAAAATTTTTCAAATTCAAAAACTGTACATTTATCAGAAATTATTAAAGCCTGATGTTTTTAATAAATTACCAAGTACTTCCTCATCTTCATTGTTAGCTCCGTTTTTAATAAGCAAACCGTCTCCCTTTGAAGGCAGCGTGTCACAACATCCAGTCTCTCCAGGTCCTGACTCCAAACCACCTGGAGTGACTACACATTTCTGGGCTCCAAGATGTATGAGAGAACAGCTGGGAGGAAAGCCCTGGAATCAGCATTTTAACAAGCTTCCTCAGATTATCTCGGTGTGTACTAAAGTTGGAGAAATCGCGGGCTTCACTGGCAGATCTTTTTACGAATTACAGATTCTAAGAAATCAGTTTTAATTTTATTTTTTAGCCTGTAGCCTCTGTGTCCACACCTCAGTGAGCTCCCTGCTCCAGCTGGCCCTCTTCCCCTAGACAATTAGCCTGGTGCGACAATGAGGAGCCCAGACTGTGAAGCCAAATGTCATGCCCTTGAATCTCATGTCTGACACTTACCAACTGCGATCTTGGGCAACCTTTCTGTGACTCAGTGTCACTGTCTGTATAATGGGAATATGAATAATACTTAACTCTTAGATAGGAAGAATATATTGGCTAATTTTTGTAAATCACTCAAAAGTGTGCTGGGCACATAGTAAACACTATGTGTTTGTTAAACACAAAATAAAATAAAATCAGTGAGCAGCTTCCAGTTGCTCATGTTACTGAGCTTCCCAAAGCTCCCGCTCTCATTTCTATTTCCAGATCACTATATTTCCCTTTCTTTCAAAAACCTGTCCTCCTTTGTCATGTCAGCTCCATGAAGACAGGCATTCTCTTGGGCATGTCACTGCTTGTACCCCAATGCCTAGAACAAATCCCACCGTATACCCCAGGCCCCAGAAACAGTTGATGAATGAAGGAGGTGAATGAGTAAATAAACCTGGTTTCACTCCTCTGTCTCCCTCCTTCCTGCAGTCATCTGCCAATATCCCGAGAATCCCCACTTCCTCGGTAAGAACTCTGACACCTGGGTCAGTCTTCACCTTTGCCCCAATTTCTGCCATCACCCCGGGAGAACTTAAGCTCTAGTACCGCTCAGTCCATTGCTACCACACTAAGAATCTCTTCATCGTAAGGCCAGCGAAGAGTCAGTCTCCAGTCCGTCTCTTACTTAGCTTCTCTCTAGAATTTGTCTCTGTTTATCTCTCCTTCTCCTTTACTTTTAATGTTACTGATCTTTTCAGGTTCATTTTTTTCCCCGTTTTTCTTAATTTTTTTCTTCCTCTTCTTTTTTTTAAGTAGGCTCTATGCCCAACGTGGGGCTCAAACTCAATGACCCTGAAATCAAGAGTCGCATGTTCTACCGACCGAGCCAGCCAGGCACCTCTTTTCTGGTTCTTATCCTATCAGTTTATCCTTTCTCAGTTCCTCTTCTTTCTCTACAATGTTCTTTGTAATCTTTCATTTAGTCAATCCCTGTATTAAATCCTTTAACGGCACCCCTTGTCATCAGAATGAAATCCCAGTTCCTTAACATGGCATCTAGACACAATCTAAGTCAGTTTATTTTTCCAGTTCCTTTTTCAATCACTCAAAGAATAGCACAGCACCTTCCCCACTGCCTCTCCCACCACCACCAGCACCAGCAGCCGCATGCACCAAAAAGTGCGCTGAGCATCCATGTCAGAGTGGAACTGAATCTTCTCCCGCTGGTGTCCTTTTTCTAAGCTGGATTGCCAGCAGTCATCGTAGGGGACAAAGGTAGGATACACTGAGGCCACATTTACAGTGCACAGAGATAACCAGTGAACTTCCCACTCTGCATGATGTCTCATTGCCATGACATATGCAAGAGAGATCAGAGGCAAACATAAACAAATACATAAAAAACATAAAATAGAACACCCGTTAAAATCTCAAAGGCCCTTGGAAGCCAGGAATTAGCCACAAGAGAGAGGGATGGAGATTAAGCTCGTAAAGCAAATTGCCCCTTTCTTATTTACCTGAGTCTGATTTTAAGGCCTCTTCCAGCTTTTGGCATTTGCCCTTCGATGATGTAAAGAAAAATTTGGAACTTGAGGAAGTACATCTCTTCATATCTGCTGAACTAAGACCTGAGGGAAAAGTTGTAAAGGTGATTAATTTTTGCATTTGTTAAAAACTCCTTTTGAGATGCAGCCAGGTGTGAGAATGGGGATAAGAGGTTATGTCCTACTATTGAGCTCAAGAGCTCTAGAAGGGTCAAGGGTCAGAAAAAGGAATATTTGATTTTTGTTATTAAACAAAATAATAATACATGTATATATCTAGGAATGAAGCATCATGTGTCTGAAACTCACTTTCAAATGCAAATTCTGGCTCCTATTAGCTTTGACCAGAAAGGGGAGAAGATTGGGATGATTTCTACATGAAACAGTGGAAGGAACAGAAACTGAACACCCCAAAGAGCGATATCTTTGGCCCATCCACAGTCAGCTGCTCAGGCATACAGCAAATCAATAAAAGTAGGCATGTAATCGTCCCCATCCACCTACTGGAAACCCCAAATTGGGTTCTGGTTCTAGAGTAATTAATTCCTAAAACCCTAGGTCTACTGCCTCAGTCTCTCTATTTTAATATCTTTACCATCTCTGGTTTCCAACATTTCCTTCTCATGACTCATAACCTTAGAATGTAACAATTTCTACTCATTATCAAATAGAGTTTTGCCAATGCATTTTTTAAGAAGGATAGAAAATAATAAAGTATGGAAATATATTTTTCTCATATAATTTTGCTAACTCTACTATAATAACCTCAGTATTTCTTAAAGAACAATTGGGGGGCATATATTATTATAACTCAGCGGTTTTGAGTATATTGCAATTAGGACTTTTAGGAAGAACAGAAACTGCTCAAGAGTAAAATTTTTACTCAAAAAAATACTTTGACCAACTTGGAAAGCTTTAAAAAGTTCCCTCCATTTCTTTTAAATACTAAGGAAAAAGGGGGGGGAACAGTGAAACTGAATTTAGGTTAAGCCATTGCTGGACTAATTTTCCAAAGAAACATTGCCTTTGTTGTTGCTACAAAAAACAAAAACAAAACAAACAAACAAAAAACCTGTGCTTGTACATTCATTTCTAACCAGGGAATTTAGAAAAGTTCAAATTCTGGCTAAATCTTAATTGGTAAAAAAATAAGGCAATGGAAACATAGAAAAATACTGTAGTCCACCCACAAGGGAATGTTACAAGATCTCCTCTGAATCTCATGTAATAAGTCTTAACTCTCCTCCACGGTTGTAAAGACGCTTGACTGAAGAGAAAGGCCATGAAGAGGTGATTTGGATGGAGAAGGATTTGTGGATATCAGCTTAACAAAGGTGGGAAGAAGCAGGTTTGACTTGGAATATTAGTAAACCAGAGCCAAAAGGTCTTTGGAGAGAAGGAATGGACACGGAGACATCACCCTCTCCCCTCCCACACTGGGACACCTGGCGAGGACTCTCCTCTAATTATGAGGTCAAAAAAATCATAAACTCAGTGGTGTGCACCAACTCTAACAAAAATCAGGCAATTCTAGCAACAACATAGCATAAGGAAAAAGCTCAGCTGACTTTGGAGCCAGTTAGACCTCCCTACAATCTATATGCCCTAGGATGAATCTTATCATAGCACTGAGTCTCCATTTCTCAGTCTGTAAGACAGGAATTGTAGTGGCCCCCTCACTGGGTAGTAGTGAGGATCATTGCTGACATATGTGACTTGCCTGTTGTAAGAAAGGCATCTGATAAATTTAAGCTATTGTTACAAGAATTATGTAGTAAGCCAACTTGTGATATCCAGAGATTTTCTTAAAGGAATGTGAGTGGTAATAACAGAGGTAAACAAAATACTTCTTTAAAACATTTTGATTTCTGAAATATAATTCCTCATTAGCTTTTCCTTGAAGAATATTACCTAAGCTGAGAAATGGAAAAGGTTTAAAAAGTATTCCAAAAACCCAATCAACACCCTCTGAGGATAGCCAATGATGATGACTATCTCACATTTCAGGGTACTATCCCAAAGAGTAGGCTGGCTTTTCTTAGAGCCTAAAAATTTTGAGTAGAATATAATGGATTCTTGCCATTTTGGATTCCTTTGCAATTTAATCTCTATTTGTCATATTTTAAAGCTCTGAAAGTTTAAGCTAACTACGTGTTATTTCCCCCATTAAAATTCCTACAATGTTTGTATTTAATAATTTTTTAATACTTTACCACTATTTTTGATTTTTTCTGAGTCCACATAAAATAGAACTTTGTACTCTCCTCCTAGGGACCCAGACTGCAGATAATGTGTCCCATACTGGCCAATTAATCTTCGGTAGGCACTGTAGTCATACAGAGAGGGAAGGAAGGAGAGTTCCTTCCAGAATGGCTCAGCAAGTTGTAAAAATTCCGGATTGTTATTGACAAACTGAGCCACTTCCACGGTGTTCTGGACAACCAACAAATGATGACTCTATGGAAAGAAGAGAGCATAAAAAGTGTTTTAGGTTGGTGATAAAAAGGCAGTGGAATTAGTTTGCTGTCCAATGTCTCCATCAGCTGCCACCTCCAACCAGACTATATGAATTTCTATTTTTGATGCATGATGAGGTCTTTTCTGGGCCCACTCACTTGAAGCAGTCTATGGAATTTTTGGAATCCCAAATAGGAATAATATCTGAGTGATAACATGGTAATTTCTTGCATATATGACATTTAAAATCTCAAAACCAAGTAGTTATGCCCTCCTCAACTAGAAAAAAGAGAATCAGCTTCGTTAACTGCTAAACAATCTCACAAATAAATATGTAAAATAGTATGTCCCTAGGGTGTACACAATGACTTATAGGTAAGGTGACCATATAACACATATTCCATACTGGGGTCCCTCATTTCATAATGAGGGGTTTTTCTATTTTAATGTCATGAACCTACAGTGCTGTATTAGTTGCAGGTGTACAATAGAGTGAACCACCAATTCCATACATCACCCAGTCCTCATCACAACAAATGCACTTCTTCATCCCCATCCCCTATTTCACCCATCCCTCCGCCCACCTCCCCTCTGGTAATCACCAGTTTGTTCTCTATAATTAAGAGTCTGCTTTTTGGTTTGTCTCTTTTTTGTTGTTGTTCATTCATTTTCTTAATTCTACATATGAGTGAAATCATATGGCATTTGTGTTTCTCTGACTTATTTCATTTAACATCATACTCTCTGGATCTATCCATGTTGTTGCAAATGGCAACATTTCATTCTTCTTTCTGGCTGAGTAATATTCCATTGTATAAATATGCCACATCTTCTGTATCCATTTGTCTATCAATAGACACTTGGGCTGCTTCCATAATTCAGCTATTGTAAATAATGCTGCCATAAACATAGGGGCATCTCTCTTTTTGGATTAGTGTTTGTATTCTTTGGGTAAGTACCCAGTAGTGGATACAATGAGGTCTTTGAACACTTCCTAAGTATCTTGTAATGATGTCCAAGACAGATCATGAATAAATAAATAAAATTAAAAAAAAAAGACAGATCTACCTTATACCAAATCTTCACTTCTGTGAACAATGTAGTATAAAAATAATAAATGTTTATACAACTCCTATCTCCACAGTCAGCTTCTTAGTCATAAAACAAGCAAAACCACTATTCCTTTATACTTCCTGTGATTTATTAATCAAGTTACTGACTTTAAGAATGAGACAAAATATGCAGATTTAGAATGATGGTCAGCCTGAAAACTTCTTCAGCAGTAGGTGTACATCAGCCAGTGCAATCTATCACAACTGTTCAGCTTGCCCAAGATAAAAGTTTTAGTATCTCAAAACAACAAAGTATCTAAAAATTAGGCTTTTAACTTCTTCAGACAAAAATTTGGGTATTTCAAAAGTAATAAAGTGTTCCAAAATCTTTTAGTTTTATGCACCTTCTAAGTGTTAGTGTTTAGGAAGTGCATACTAATTGGATTTTTTAAATTGTATATAACATTTATATAACCACGTAGAGTAATCATGAATTAGAAATTTAAGAAAATTTTAACTAGTAGATTTGAAAGTAACGTTTTTTTAAGATTTTCAAATAAGAGCAAATACTTTAATAAGAAAATAAAAGTATAGGGGCGCATGGGTGGCTCAGGTGGTTAAGCATCTGCCTTCGGCTCAGGTCATGATCCCAGGGTCCTGGGATCGAGTCCCACATTGGGCTCCCTGCTCGGTGGGGAGCCTGCTTCTCCCTCTCCCTCTGCCTACAGCTCACTCTCTCTCTCTCTCTCTCTGTCAAATAAATAAATAAATCTGAAAGAAAAAGTATAGAGGTGCCTGGCTGGCTCAGTCAGTGGAGCACATAACTCTTAATCTCAGGGTCCTGAGTTAGAGCTCCACATTGGGTATGGAGCCTACTTTAAAAAAAGAAGAAGAAAGAAAAAGAAAATAAAAAGTATAAATAAATATATTATCCAAGAGAACTAACAAGACACAATCTTACCTTTTAAAGAAATATATTACATTGTCTCTTTGAAGAAGATACTATTACCCTAATTTTTTTTTAATAATTTTTTTATTGTTATGTTAACCACCATACATTACATCATTAGTTTTTGATGCTTATTACCCTAATTTAAAAAAGAAAGCTGATCTGTTTGGTAAATACACTTTTGTTAATGTTAGAAATATTTAAGCAGTAAAATATGGAAAAGTCAACTAATATTTCATACTAACCTTTTTCTTGTGGATTTCATTGGTATGTGAAGTATAACTAGATGAAGAAGATGATGAAGATCTGAAAAAGGAGCTTTTCCTACTAGATGAGGTATGTTCTGCCGAGGTAAGCTTTACATAAGACCAGCTACTGTTGTAAAATTCATAATTAAAATCATTATTTATTTTCACCTATAAAGAAAATGAAAAATTTTGCTGTGACCAAATTAAGGCCTTGGATATAACCAAAAATCTTTTGCCATGGATCCTTTAACGTGGATATTTTCTTCAAACAGTCTTCTCCAAAAAGACAAAGCTCTTCATTGACACAAAATGACTGTGGCTCTCAATACAACCAGGCCCATATGAGTATAAGGAATAGAGTCCATTCTACAATTACTCTTAGTTAAGAAGGAGACATGGTGTCAATAATGGCAATTCCAAGTGATTCACAGAACACGTCTGTGTACAAACATCTCCCATTTTCTTTTAATGTCAACAGTTAACCCAGAAGTCAGCAAATCAACAGAATTACACTAACAGAGAACTGAAAAGCTCTTGGTTCTTGATTTTTCAGCTAAAAGAGGGGAACAGAGATGCAATTTTTTTTCCTTATGAGCGAGGGTAGAAGAAAAGGCCATCCCAAAGGAATTTTGAGGCAGACAACAGGATAGTCACATGTGGCTAACACGGAAGTGAGAGCCCCAGCACTGACAAAGAAGACAATCATTTATTTATCCCTTATTTTATCCTAGATCAAGTGTCAAAATAAAATGCCCATGGGGGCTAGCACATAATATAAATGTTGGAGGCATCCCATGGAAGGCAGGGTGATGAAGTGAACACACACACTGTCGAAAAGGGACACCAACACTCAAATCCATCATACAGTTACCATATGTAACTACAAGTTCTAGCATTGACAGATTATGTGTTTCCAAGAAAAGAGAAAAATCTGAAATCTTGACACAAAGATCTCCAGACTTTTTTTAAATTGTAGGCGATTAATTTGCTAAAAAGTGTCAAGCACCACGAAAATAAAACAAGACGCGCGAGCTGACTCCCTCTCACAGTGTCTGCTCTGCTTAAATAGTCAAATCAGTAACTGTCCTTCCACAAGCATTTGTGTTCTTAGCATATAGCCATACACATCTGTGTTTGAGATCAAAGTATAAATAAGCACAGGGAACATTAAAATGATGGATATGATACACTTTAAACACAAACCTAAGAGGAATGAAAACAACAGAATACCATGTAGCCATTTTAAATGATGCCTATGAAGAAAAATATTCATGTTAAATGAGAAAGTGGGTATAAATGTAATAATCCTGTTCATTACAACCATACAAGTATATTCCCCAGTCAAAAAAAGACTAGAAAGAAATTCAGGGGCGCCTGGGTGGCTCAGTCAGTTGAGTGTCCGACTCTTGATCTCAGCTCAGGTCATGGTCTCAGGGTTGTGAGTTCAAGCCCCACATTGGGCTCCATGCTGGGCATGGAGCCTACTTTAAAAAAAAGAAGAAGAAGAAGAAGAAAAGAAAAGGCTAGAAAAAGTTCATCAAAATGCCAGAAAATATTGTATTACTTTTATCACTGCCCATGTTCAAAATTATGCATGCATGCTAAGAACATGCCAGAAGACAAGAAAAGATAGATTTATTCATATCTTTTGTTAGAGCATTATTTTCATTACATTATGAAATTGGTTTGTTTAAAGGTCAAAGGCAAAAATTCAGCTCACACTGAGATGGAGAATATATGTATTATTATTGACTATAAAGAGGACATTAATAAGAATGCCATCAGAGATTTCTGCAACCACTAGATACTGTTTCGGTCCTATTTGGTTTTAGATAGACACAAATTTACTTTTTATCTCTCTTAAGAAAGAGAAGTTATCTATCTTCCTTTCAATGCAAGGAAAAAAAGCCTATTTTCCCTCATCTTCAAATCTGCAATTCAAGTACTTGATTAATGCAAATAAGCCTCTTTAGCGGCTTTAGTTCAGCATCTCCTCACTCGCATCTACTTTACACAGAGCTGCAAGAGTCATCTTTTTCAAGGTAATGTGATCTTCTTAAATGACCCTTAATTAATACTCTCTCCATCCAACTTAGACTCACCCAGACTGATCGCTCCTCTGAAATCACAAATCCTACATCCTGCCACCTCTTACTCGTTTGACTCTCATTCTATTATCACCAGAGCCATTATTCAACTTTACAGACACAAGTTCCTCTACTTGGTTTCCCTTCTCTCCTTCTATCAGCACCTTCATTTTTTCACTTCCTTCCTTTTCAGATAGACCTCATGTTTCCTGACTTCAACCAGTCTCTCACCAATGACCTTAACTCCCTTGCCTAGATATGCTCTGCCATCATGTTTGCCTGGCAGAATTCCAGCCCTGGTTCAATGCTTGCAGCCAAGCTGCTTAGCACTATGATAGAAAAATCACACAGCTAACCAATCAGTACCGCTATAAGTCCACTCATGATTTCCAGTCTCAGGGGACCCTTCAAAGCAGTGCAGCAGCCCTGTATTTCCATTCTCTTTCTCTCCCATTCTCTGCAGTGTCTATTTCAAAAGTTCTGCACCTACCTCAGTCTGGCAATCTTAGAACCACTTCCCTCACTCTCAGAAAATGACCTTAACCTCTTTCTTTCAAACATTCCCATTATCAGACATGAGAACTCCTAAACTTCTGGCTAACAAATCCACAAACATATTTACATTTCTTCACTTCCTTTCCTCCGCAGGTGTCCTTCCTCCATCTAAAGCAAATTTCTGTCTCATCTCTATTGTATTCCCTCCCACCACTTCTAAGGATTTATTAAATTGATTGCTTACTCCCTCTTCCACAGCTTCAATTTTTTATTCTCTACTGGCTCATTCCTATCAAATGTATGTATATTCTAACCCCACCTAAGTAGAGTGTGCTGCAAGGGCTCTGCAGACACACTTCTTGGGTTCAGATTCCATATTTGTTATCTATTAACTCTATGACTGTGGGTAAACTCTTCAGCATTTTTTGTCTCGAGTTCCCTCAACTGTAAAATAGAAATGACAGTACCCACATTTTTAGATTATTACAAAGAAAAGAAGGGGGCGCCTGGGTGGCTCAGTTTGTCAAGCATCTGCCTTCGGCTCAGGTCACGATCCCGGGGTCCTGGGATCGAGTCCTGCATTGGTCTCCCTGCTCCACTGGGAGCCTGCTTCTCCCTCTCCCTCTGCTCCTCCCCCTGCCGTGCTCTCTCACCCTCTCTCTCTGTCAAATAAATAAATTCTTTTCTAAAAAAGAAAGGAAAAGAAAAGAAAAGAAGATCAGGGTGCCTGGGTGGCTCAGTCGGCTAAGTGTCCAACTCTTGATTTCAGCTCAGGTCATGATCTCAGGGTAGTGGGATCAAGCCCTGCACTGGGCTCCATGCTCAGTAGGGAATCTACTTGAGATTCTCTCCCTCTCCCGCTGCCCTTCCCCCCTGCTTGTGCTCTCTCTCTCTTTCTCTCTAAAATAAATAAATAAGTCTTTTTAAAAAGAATATGATTTTGTTATTTACTTGATATGCACATAGGATCTCTTTTCCAAAAATATAATGAAATACATTCAAGACTAAATACAGGAGGATCCAAGAAGTAATTCATTTTCTCCACCTTCATCTTTACTCCCCTCTGCAACTCATTCCAAGTTGACAATGAACACAACAGTCTTTCAACATTCTCCAGACTGAACTAGCAAAGTAGTACCTTCCCAAAGTGGCCATGGAGGAGGAACATGTTTCTGTGTCCAAGGGTTCCTTGTGGTATGAAAAATATGAGCAAACAGAGAAAGTGCATGGCATCAAAGATAATGGCTTAGTCAACAAGAAACCAGGTTTGCCCTGGATAAACTACACTACTGATAACCGAAACAGAGATTATAAGATGGACTGACTGATTATGTTACATGTTTATTTATTAATATTTATGTGCCAACAAGCCAAAAGCCATCTTCCACTCAGAAGAGCTGAATGCCCAGTGGCCTCAGCTCTATCTGAGCTGTGGAGAGCTTTTACTATCCCAGTCTCCACACTGGGTTAGCTCTTCAATGGCTGACTCACTGCCTATTGCTTCCATAACCCTAACCCTAACCCTAACCCTCACTTCCCTCAGGTTGGATCCTCAAAACATATCCATTCTTCACTCAATAACAGGTTATAATTTCCCTATGCCTCTGACAAACACCTTCAAATTCAGGGACAGGAAAGGCATTTCAGATGTCAATGCAAAATCCAAGCCATGCTGAGGGAAATGAATGTCAGCATTATGCTGTTATTAAATTACTTCTCTTCTTCAGAAGCTGCAAACTTCCAGCATGTCTGTCTTCCAACAATGTCAGAAATTCTCTCATGATTTTCTCTGCTCTGTAACTCTCTAAATTTGACCCAAAATATATATATACAATTATCTCTCTTATAATTATGAAAGAATTATCAACACATCCTCCTAGGAAGAGGAGGAAAAAAATATTTCTACATATGCCTATGTTACATTCTCCCTCTGGCCAATGGTTACATCACAGTACATATGATTCACCATGTAAAATTTAGAGTTGAGAAAGCAATTAAATACAAGATATTGGGAGAGTGAAATATACTAGAAAAAGAAAAGGCAGTGAAATCTGACAAATAGGACCCAAGCTCTACTACTTATTAATTTGGTGATTTAGAGCAAGTCAGCTGAAGTCCTCTGAGCCTCAATTTCTACATATATAAAATAGTAAAATATTACTTACCTTCCAAAGATATTATAAGGATTAAACATAGACAAACTGCCTAAAACAGTACAGATGCCACAGGAGATATTCAAAAATTGGCAGCTACCATTATTTTTTCAGATCAATTTCACTTTCCATTTCCATGATACAGTAATTTTTTAAAAGATTTATTTATTTGGGGCAACTGGGTGGCTCAGTCATTAAGCGTCTGCCTTCGGCTCAGGTCATGATCCCAGGGTCCTGGGATCGAGCCCCACATCGGGCTCCCTGCTCAGCGGGAAGCCTGTTTCTCCCTCTCCCACTCCCCCTGCTTGTGTTCCCTCTCTTGCTGTCTCTCTCTGTCAAATAAATAAATAAAATCTTAGAAAAAAAAGAGTTATTTATTTAAGAGAGAGAGAGAGCGCAAGGGAGGGGTAGAGAGAGAGAGAGACAGAATCTCAAGCAGACTCCTCACTGAGCACAGAGCCCAACACAGGGCTCAATCTCATGACCCATGAAATCATGACCTGAGCCAAAGTCAAGAGTCAGATGCTCAACCAACTAAGCCGCCCAGGTGCCCCCATGATACAGTAGTTCGTAAATGTAATTTATTCTATTGTAAGTCAGAGGAGGATGCTGTTTGCTATTTATAATTAAAACTGCATTCTGAAGAGGGTTAAGTTTGGTAAACAAAAAGCCTTTCTGTCTGAACATCCTAATAGTTCTGGTTTACAAATTTGGGAGTAATAGGTAAGAAGCACTGAACTGGAAATTTTCAGAATTCTGGGAAGAAGAGAGGAAAGGAGTGAAAGAGGAGGTCTTGGCAGAAGAGAACAAGAGGCTGAAATGGGATGAGACCAGAAACTTTGATTTGTTGAGGTTCTAGAAGGACCAGATGTTTTGTGATGGAGGATGTCAACCTTTTTTGTTGAATGCGTTGGCATGACTGCAACAGAAAATCTCTCCTCTATATTCCCTTCATATGCTCAGGATTCTCCCCCTAAAACCATAACTGTTTCTGTGTGAGTGGATTTTGTGTGGAAATCCTGGAACAGAACGAGTTTAGGTGTATATGACAGAAACAGCTTATAAGAAGCAGAAGCCTGGAACGGAGTCCCTGAGACCCTAAGCCAAATGGAAAATTCTGGCAATGCAGACGTTGGTAAGGATAGGGAGCACAGGCCCCCCCCTTCCACACTGCTGATCGGGTATAAATTGATGGCACATCCATTTTGGAAACTTTACTGAGCAGAGTGTAACCTATACATAACCTGTGAGGCAGCAATTCAAGTGCCCTAGAGAAACTCTAGCTCATTTGCATGGAACTCATGCACAAGAATGTGCAAGGCATTTTCATAAGAAAAAAAATGGAACCAGCAATAAAAATGTCATCTACATCAGCATGAATAAATTTCAAAACCATAATTTTGAGTAAAAAAAAAAGTCATAGAATATATACTATAGGATTTACTTATATAAGTGGCCAAAAAACAGGCACAAATAATCGTAAGTTTTTATTTAGGGACAAAGACATATGAGATAAACGTATACGGAAAGACAAAGAAGTGATTAATACAAAACAGAAGATAGTGGTTGTCTAGGGAGTGGGGGTGGGGAGGACGTGGCCAGAGAGAGGTAGATGAGAGCATTTAAGTCAGTCTTTGGCAATATTCTATTTCTTAAGGTGGGTGGTGGGCATATATGAGTATTTGTTTTATTAGTTTTCTTCAAACTGTATGTTTATATTAGTCACACTCTTTTGTATATATGAAATATTTCACAATTTAAAAACAAAAGCATTTTTAAGTGAGCTGACACTGTGGCAGTGGTAGAGATTATTACAACCAGTCATGACCAGGGCCTTGAGTTTTGACACCCACACAGGGACAGACCATCCAGTCTGGGGCCCATGTGGTCCATGGACTTGAAAATGAGATGAAAGAGGGAGCCTGGGTGGCTCAGTTGGTTAAGCGACTGCCTTCGGCTCAGGTCATGATCCTGGAGTCCCGGGATCGAGTCCCACATCGGGCTCCCTGCTCGGCGGGGAGTCTGCTTCTCCCTCTGACCCTCTTCCCTCTCGTGCTCTCTATCTCTCATTCTCTCTCTCTCAAATAAATAAATAAAATCTTTAAAAAAAAAAGAAAATGAGATGAAAGAATAGTTCAGCTTAAATGAGACAAATTTAAAGTATCATTGCCCTGTACCCCAGAGTTAAAGAATATGTATCCTTTTTAAACCCATATAAAACATTTGTTTAAGCCAAATATTAAGCCACAAATAAATTCTCAACAAATACCAAATATTAAGCCACAAATAAATTCTCAACAAATACTAAAAAATCAATATCATATAAGTAATGATCTCTGGCAATAATTCACAGGTTAAAAATAAATTAAATCAATGAAATTAAGTACCTGGAATGTATAGGAAAGGATATTTCCACTCAGTCTATAGAAATCTTTTCCATCCCCACTAAACACTTTTCTGCATTGACCACCAAAACTTTTAGTGTTGATGACTCTCTTCCTAAACTGGCCAGTGAGTTCATTGTAACTGTTAAAAAAAAAAAAAAAAAAAAAGGAAGGAAGGAAGGAAGAAAAGATGATTAAAAACCAGAAACAGCACTTGCTGAAAAAGGAATTCTAGAAAATCTTGAAATATATTACAGTTAAGCATCTCTTCAAAAGAGCTCAAATAAAGAGAGCAGTATCCTAAAGCACACCATACATTATCCAACCTCCCCTGAGTGGTATAATAGCTAAAACTAATAGCTGGGGAAATCCAACATCCCTTCAGCCTAAGAACAAGTTTGGGAAACACACAGCCCTTTTGTATCTATAGCAAAAGCTGGTTTTGAGTTGAATCTATAGATAAAACCAATACAATTAAGATTACTCTTGAGGAGAGGGAACTTTCTTTTCTTTTTTTTTAAGATTTTACTTATTTGACAGAAAGAGAGAGAGCACAAGCAGCGGGGGCAACAGGCAGAGGGAGAAGCAGGCTCCCCACTGAGCAAAGAGCCCGATGCGGGCCTCGATCCAAGGACCCTGGGATCATGACCTGAGCCAAAGTCAGACACTTAACCAACTGAGCCACCCAGGTGCCCCGAAAGGGAACTTTCTACGAGGAATTTCAACTAAATTGCCTCTTAGCATACTGAATGATATACCCTTTAGAGTAATTCTACCATTTCTCTGTTAATGAATTTTAAAATATTATAGAAAAACCACCTCTATCATTCCAAAATAGACTATTTTAAAGCCTTGAAATAACTTGGATCTGACCCTTAAAAGTTCTTCAGAATTCTTTTGAAAAGACAAACATGGGATTGTCCCAATTTCACTTGAAAATGAAGGTTTCCAGCTGGTTTAGACAATTACTTTTCAAGCCTAAATATTCCAACACACCACTCTCTCTCTTCTTTCTCTGTTCTTATTCTATTAACTCTTCATTCTCTTAAGTAGCTCCCCATCATTGTCACTGAACCAGTTCTCCCTCTGTCTCTCTATTTCTGCCTCTCTCCCAGAAGGTGACCAACATCCGGGTTTTCCCAAGTCTGAGGGGTTTCCCTGGACATAGGATTTCCAGGGCTAAAAGCGGGACAGTCCAGGGACAATTGGACACTCTACATTTACCACATATATTTTCAGGTATCCAGGTACAAATTAAAAGTTCTGGGGCACCTGGCTGGCTCAGTCCGGGAGCGTGCAACTCAATCTCGGGGTTGTGAGTTCGAGCCCTACACTGGGGGTAGAAATTAAATGAACAAAACTTCAAAAAATGTTGTTTTAAATGTTTTAGGATGTGGCAAAGAGCTCTGAGCCAAGAGCTTAGCTATTATGATTTCTTATTAGATTTATCAAACCATAAAATAAAAACAAAATGAAAAGCTACAACCCGTCCATATGCACAGGAAGCTGCCCAGTGCCTTACCCGTTTCCAGTAAGTTCTATGTTGGGAGGAGGCTTATCAAGGTCACAGGAAGGTCTGCTTTCTGAGTCCTCGCATCTGTCTTCATCAGCGCTGTCCTCTTCACAGTCAGAATCCCCATTGCAAACCAAAGATTTGCTGATGCACTGGCCTATACACAAGATAAGCCCCCACACAAAATAAAAGAGGGAAGAAGGCAAAAACTACCTGGGATCAAAAAAGTTTTGCCTCAGGGGTGCCTGGGTGGTTCAGTAGGTTGAGCTTTGACTCTTGGCTTCAGCTCAGGTCCTGATCTCAGGGTCATGAGTTCGAGCCCCGTGTGGGGCTCCGTGCTCAGCAGGGAGTCTTCTTGAAGATTCTCTCCCTCTCCCTCTGCCCCCCCCCGATTCATGATTGCTCTTTCTAAAATAAATAAATAAATCTTTAAAAAAAAAAAAAAGGTTTTGCCCCGACCCCCAACATTGCATTAATATTTTACTGTGTATTTGAGATCAATTTTCAAGGTGTCCAGGAAAGGCCTGGGGATTATTTTGGCCCTCATATTCTAACACACAAAATTGATTCTGACCTCAGCTGGAAACAAAATGGAAAATAAAAGCTGAATTCAAATACCAGTGTTCCACCCATAATCAAGCCGTTTGTCTGAATCTTCCCAAAATCAAAAGGCGCCAACCACTGGGAAGATAGATTGACATCCTGCCCTTCAACTTTCAGTTTATTTTTTTGTAATCACTGACCAAGATGCCAAAGCTCTGCTTTTTTTTGGTGATTTGATGTGTAAGCTTTTGAGAGCATGGAAACTGGGTCAAAAGTTTAAAATTCCACATTTCTTTAGCACCTACTCTGGGCAAGGCACTCTTCCAGATGTTAGGGTACAAATATAAATAAAAACGGTATGTTGGACTTTTCATATACTTTACAATCTAGTAGGAAGGACTATGAAGACATAGATCATTTTAATCCCGCAATGTAATTGTTCTGATAGATCCACATCCCAGGCACCAAGGAGGCACTGAAGGGCACCAGATGATCTGACGCTTGCCTACCTCCCCAGCATCATCTGCAGCCATTCTCCTACCTGCTTCCTAATCCCTCATCACACCTACACGAATAAAAGGCCAGGCTTTCTGTCATCTCCACTGATCTTGCACTTATACTTCTCTCAGCCTAGAAGGGTTTCTCTACCTGCCACATACTTGTCCCTCAAAAATCAAATTAAATATTATCTCCATCCCTACACCACAGGCTATAATACAAGTCCCTCGTTTATGTCCTCAGAGTATGTATTGCACACAACTGTTCTGATGGTAAAGCATGCACCCCACTGGGTCTCACTCAATCCAATGCAAAGAACATTTGTTGAGAGTCTACTATGTACCAGGTACTTCAGATGCAAAAATTAAAGGAATATTATCCCTATCCTCAAGGAGTTCACAAGAGAGATAACCAGGCCAACAGATAACTCCAGATTATAGATGGTACGATGTACATAGGGAACATAGAGAAGTGATTTGTTAGTTATCTCTATCAGTTTAGGAGTTAAAGAATGCTTCCTAAAAGATGAGTCATCTGATTTTGGTTTTGAAAGTAAACTAGGAACTCAACAGGTATTGTGGAGGAGCACTTCTAACACAGGAATTATTTATGTACTATTCTGCCCATAAACTTTAATATTCGTGAAGGAAGAGGCTATGTGTTTCATTTACATATCCACAATCCTCACCACTATATCTGGAGCCTAATAGGAATAATAGATATTTGCTAAAGGTTGTTGAATTAATCTGACTGCTCAAACGCTACCTAAACAATAGGTCAAAAAATACTCAGTGCCCAAACTTGAAATTAGGTTTCAATCACCCTGTGCATAGGAGTGACCTGTATTCCTTCTTGATTAGGTAATAAGAGTTGTTTTTTTTGTGAACATAATAATAATTTGGGCAGTAACATTGTTTTTGCCCAATCTTGATGTACCAGACTCACTCTGCATCTTCACCAAAAATGCAATGTCAAGAGCTGTTTGGGTCTGTCAATAGTCATATTTCTTTTCAAAGAAGCAAGGAGTATCTCCTCCTTTATTACCAGATGAAATAATGATATTGCATTTGAAATAATGATAGCTGAGTGTATAATTAATATGCCAATAAAATCAATTCTTAGGCCAATATAAATTCAGTAAAATTGAACAAATACATGCTGAGCAAGTTAATCAAATAGCATTTGAATTTACACTCTGCATGGAATGTCCAAGCCAGTGGAAAACAGATACCTGAGAAACACCTGAACCGCTCTCCACATCCCTCTTCTGTCGGACATCCTAGTGTAGATTCACACGATTGTGTTTCAAATGCACTTCCAACGCAAGGATGGCCCCCATACTGCCCATAAACAGCAACTGACCGCCTGCGAGTCTAAACACAAAACAGGTAGTGCTTTTTGACATCTCCTTTCCTTTATCTGAGAAACAAAATCTAAGATAAATTAATACAACTGAAGAATCAGCGTTCAGGAAATTGTTCTGGGGGGCAGATGTAAAACCTCCTAGTCCAAAGATGAAGCTACCTCTGCAATGGAATTCTACTAGACAATCAAAATCAAGGGCCTCTGAAATGGGAAATATGTCAAAGGCAAATCTCTGGGAAAGAAAGTATGGGAAAAATAGAGGAACTCATCAAGCCGCTTGAGAAACAAATAATTCATCCTAAAATTCACTTAATCAATATGAAGACATGTACCTAATATTTAAACAAAAAGAGGTCCACAAAATCCTTTTCCTTCCCAACAGCCACCAAATGCATCGTGTAAGCCCCTTCCTCTACTCACCTTTTCCCTATTAAAAATAATAAACATGGGCGCCTGGGTGGCTCAGTCGTTAAGCGTCTGCCTTTGGCTCAGGTCATGATCCCAGGGTCCTGGGATCGAGTCCCGCATCGGGCTCCCTGCTCAGCGAGGAGCCTGCTTCTCCCTCTAACTCTCCCCCCTCTCATGTACTCTCTCTCTCTCTCTCATTCTCACTTTCTCAAAATAAATAAATAAATCTTTAAAAATAATAATAATAATAATAAACAAAATCTGACCTTCCAGAGAATTTAAGCCTTGAGCAAAGACCAACAAGGAAGACAGGATACACAAACTGATGTGGGGCCAGGAGTGGAACAGTTAAGAAAGAATTCTTGAGATGTTTTTGGTGCAAAAAGGTGCTTTTATTATAGCACAAGGGAAAGGGCCCATGGGCAGAAGGAGCTGTACTTTTGCTCTATGAAGCTGGTAGTTATATACTTAGTCTCAAGGGGGAGGAGACATGCAAGGAGTATCAGATCATAAATGTCTTTTTAGAACTTCTACTCATAAAACTACTTTTGCAGGATTTCTCTGGTGCTTATCATTGGGCTCAATATAAACTATCAGCGAGATGAACAGGCAGTCATGAGACCCTCAGTATCTGATCCTTGTGGGAACTATGCAGGCTATAGGTCAGGCTTCTGGGCTAACTGTGAACACATTTCTGCTTCTATCCCTCATCACAAGCCAAAGTTGAGTCTCTTCATCCATCCTAAGTTAGGTTAGAATTGGGGATTCTTTCGGACAAAGGGTCGCAGTAATGTAATTTGCTCTGTGAGCAGCTTTGTCAGCCTGGGCCTGACACTGGCACCTTCCATTGTGTCTAAGCAGAGGAGCTGTGGAGGAACAGGAGTGGGGAATGGGACTCAGTACAGTTCCTTGATAAGTTTTTAGTCTCTGTGTTTAATTGATGATGACACCTCTCACATGTGTCTTATTAAATTGTCCTTTTCTGAAGTTCCAAAGCACAGATTGTGTTGTTTGTCTAAAGAGTGCTTCCCTCTCTCTGGATATGAGCATGACCTTGAGAGCTGCCCATTGCAAACAGTCAAATTCTCACCTGACAAATTCTGATCTTATGACCCTGTTTTCATTCTCACTTGTCTCTTTCTGGATGAAAATTTTGTCGTTATAATCTAAGGATGTAATCATTGCATGATGACCTTCATGCAAAGAAAAAAATTGCTAATATGAAAAATACCTTCCATCTCTTTCTTTTTAGCATTCTTTCTTAACTTGTTTTTTTTTTTTTTTAGTATATGTGCTGCCGAAGCGAGCACTCTTAACTTGTTTTTAAATTATAAAAATGTTTTCTGTAGTTGGTGTTTGACTTTCGCCTTGTTATTCATGTAATCAGAGTAGTCATCTATTTCCCCAAAGCCAAATTCTGCATTTGTGTAACTTGTTTTGTAAATGCCACTCATGTAAGTACTAAATGCTTGATGAAAATGATGATCATGATGATGCTTCAAAACGGAAATTATCTTCTGTAATATGGTTCTGTATTCTTAATAATTAAAAAGTGGTTTTTAAATACACATTTTTATTCAAGCTGAACCACCTTTAAAATATTTTGCAAATATAGAATCATGTTGTATACCTGAAATTAAAATAATGTCATGTGCTAATTATATTTCAATAAAAACATACTTAATCATTCAAATGTTTAGAACTTTAAAACAAGCATTATATTTTTGGAATTTATCCTAAGAAAATTATCAGAACAGAGGACAGATTTCTATGTATAAAAATGTCCACTGAAGTTTTATTTATAATAACAAAATGTACATATCCTAAATCTCAAACAATAGGAAAGTGGATAAGATTCAGTATACGCACATAATGGAAAATAATAGAGCTGTTAAAATTCATGCCAAAAGTATAATTTTAAAATAGTAGAGGGGTGCCTTGGTGGCTCAGTTGGTTAAGCACCCAATCTTGATCTCAGCTCAGGTCTTGATCTCACGGTCATGAGTTCAAACCCCATGTTGGGCTCCATGCTGGGTGCAGAGGCTACTTACAAAAAAAAAACAAAAACAAAACAGTAGGATATAGGGACACCTGGCTGGGTCAGTTGGTTGAACATGTGGCTCCTGATCTTGGGGTCATGGGTTCAAATCCCACGTGTGGCATGGAGTTTACTTAAAAAAATTTTTTTTAAATAAACAAAAAAAAATTTTTAATACTGGAATATAAAACTATAATCAAACAATTCTATTTTTAAAAATTATAAACACACAGAGAAGATAAATTGAAAAAATAAATACCAAATGATGGTATATTGGTTTCTTTTAAATGATGCAATTGTAAGTAGTGTCTTCTTTATATAGACTTTCCCATGTTTTCTCCAATGAATAACTTATAATAAAGGGAATAAAACAGACACTTTTAGAAGTACTCTATTATCTCCAGATCAAGTCCAGCATTTTATTTGTATTACTTAGAAATTAAACTTTAAAAATTTTAAAAATGCAGAGGGGCCTGGTTGGCTCAGTCAGTGGAGCAGGCAACTCTTCATCTCCGGGTGGTGGGGTCAAGGCCCACACTGAGTGTAGACATTACTTAAAAGTAAAACCTTAAAAAAAAAAAAAAAGTGCAAAATGTTCCACTCTTTGTGGTCATTCACTATTCGTTAGGTAAGACAAAGCAGCCATTTTGGACTTGCTAGTGTTAGTTTTAAGTAAGAAAAGTTGAACCCAATAGTAGATTTTGAACTACCTACTAACTTCATTTCATGCTCTTCTATTTCTCTAATAGTTAAAGAGTTAGTGAATTGCTTTATCCTATGTATGTTCCTAGGCTCTAATGTAAGATTTAGAAAAGTCCTGCAAGAAAAATAAGAATGCAGGAATTACTTTATTACATTATTAATTACTAAAGCCATACTTTTCTCCCTTTAAATTAATAATCATATTAAGAAACACAAAAAATAACATGTCAAAAGCCATTTGTCTATACATCAGCTATTTCAATATAAACAATATATACCATAAATAAAGAATAAGAGCAAAGTTTTTGTATGGTCCTACCTGAGTCTTGGTACAACCATTGCATTCTGACCACAATCCGTAGGAATCCCACTGGCAAGTGACTGGAGTGGAGGCTCTGTCAAATTGTTATAAATCAGGTAGAAAGATAAAAAGAGGGGAAACACAAAGAATGGTCAAAAATAGTAAAAAAAAAAAATTCCTTCACAATTTTGTAAGAGGCACCAAAAGCATCCCAAGATACATAAAAATATATGGGGAAGGGACCAACTTTTTTAGAGATTAACATTTATTAAGCATCTATAATGTACCAGACACTATTTAGACGCCTGAGCTGTAGACACAATGAGAGACAGGCCACTGACTATGGATAGAGGAGAGGGCAAAGATGCAGAGGTATAAACAAATAATCCTAATACGATCATACAATATATCTAATCTGATCAATTTCAGAGCAGAAATATGTCCGGTACAATGTGTTGTGGAAATATAGATAAGGGAGTGTTCATATTTGGGAGGGTAAGTGAGAACATATAGGAGGGAGGTATTCTGGCCTTTGAAAGGATTCTGAATAATGAATGAAGAGTTATACAGAAACTCTTCACTGGAAGACAAAAAGCTCTAAAAAGACCCTATGAGAAGTGAGAAACTAAAAACTGGCCAAGACTAAAGGGACAGAAATTTATTTTTAGATATTCCCCCATTCATTTAGGCTACTTCTCAAGAACACACCCAAGTAGGGTCAATTTGAGTTTAAACAACTCCAATCCACTAAAATACATGAAAAATGGAGAGTCGATTCTCATGTGATGCTTAACTCCAGCTTTGTCAAGAAGATCACACGGCTTGGCCTAGCCCAAAAGCACATTTTACAAGGGGTAAAGGAACTCCGACTCCTGATTTCTGGATTTCGAGCACATTCCTAGCCTTGGAGACATCTGGAGTCAAGGTGATTTGTGCTCACCTTAAGTCTGTGAGATGACCCTGAAAGTAAGGTGTGTGCTTCACATGCTTTTATGGAGCCAAGCTTGCTAATCTGTCATCTTGACATGGCAACAATGACACAAATTCCTCAGTGTTTGTGACCTTTGAAAAATCGGAACTTGCTATTTTTCTATGTTGCGTCCCAGGGACAGACAGAGGCCTTCCCCAAACACCAAGGGTTAGGAAGGGGAGCTAGCTTGGCCTTCTCTCCTCCGTGCTCCCACAGTAGGGCATGCAGGCCTCTTCCAGAAATCTTAGCACATCTGTATTGAAATTGACTATTTCAAGATCTAAATCACCCAGTGGACTCTCAGCACTGTGTTGGTCTTCTTTGCAGCCCCGTCACTAGATCAGCTCCTGACACATATTCTGATAGCTTGATAAAGTGAACTGACCTGGTCCTAACCCATCCAACCGACAGTGAGAGCAAAACAAGGCCATGGATAAATGGGGTTGGCTTTTTTCCAGGTCTCAAGAGTCAATAAACCTAATTTCTTAAAAAAAAAAAAAAAAACAACTCTCAACCAGATGGGAACTACGCTTGCGGTGAGCATAGCATAACGTATAAACTTGTCAAATCACTATGTTGTACACCGTAAACTAATGTAACATTGTGTATCAACTATATTTCAATTAAGGAAGGAAAAAAACCTCTCAACCTTTAAAATCCAAAGAATGTTTTGCAATAACTACATTCAAAAATCAAATTCTGCTCTAAGATAAGTCAATTCTAAGGTTGGTGTAATAATCTGAATTGCAGGGAAAATCACGGTACTAGGACAAGAAGAAAACCTTTACGTATTTTTAGCCTTCAGGTTTCCTCCTTACGGGAAAAAAATAAAGTAAACTAAGAATAAGAATAAACCAAGCTTTCGCTATCATTGCCTTTTCTCAAAGTGTGGAAAGATAAAAGTATTGAAGGGATAAAGATGTTCAGGCTGCAATGTAAAAATCAGGTCATGTATTAAAGATCTTCCTAAAAATAAAAGAACAATTTTTAATGATTTCCAACACAATCCCAAAAAAATTCTCACCTTGAAAAAACTTGGAACTCTCCTGTAAATCCCACCAAGATGAATAAAGTTATTACCTGGGGATGGCGAGGGAGAGAGGAATAAAACATTACTTTAGTTTGCATTTCTTTAATGAGTCGAAAGCGAATACATTTGTACAAGTCAAGATTTGTGAGTTGGGAATATAAAGAAGGGAAAGAACCATGGACCAGGCTCAACGACTCTGCTTGTCCTTTAAATTTCCATTCTAAATCAAAGTTTAATACAGTTCTGTTGGACTCACCTCCCCTACTATTCATTTCCGTAAAAACAACTAGGGGCTGGGGAATGTCGTGGCCAAACAAATAGAAAACTTAACTCATTAGAGCATTTCTTTAGGGATCTTTTAATTCCTTTCTTCACTCTCCTTCGCTCTAACTTCAACACTCATAAGGACACCCGGAGAGGAGGAAGCCTCAAAGAAAGACCAGCCAAGAATAAGTAGTTAGACGGGAAATAAGCTTCATAAATGAAGAGTTAACCAAAGTTGAAGCACATCTCTAGCCAGAGGGGCAGTGATGCTCGCCATGACCCTTAGTTCTGTGGCTGGCTCAGGTGTAAAACACCTCTGAGGCCTTTTGTAATCTTCTTTATGTGATAGCACCAGCCTAAATATTGACGATCTGGCAGGTCACAAAACTGTATGTAAAATAGGGTTACATTTTGCTTGAAAAATCAAACATGTATTAAAAACAAATCTAGAAAGAAATATAGTAAAGAGTAATCATTTATGGGGCGCCTAGGTGGCTCAGTCGTTAAGCTGCCTTCGGCTCAGGTCATGGTCTCAGGGTCCTGGGATCAAGCCCCACACAGGGCTCCCTGCTCAGCGGGAAGCCTGCTTCTCCCTCTCCCACTCCCCCTGCTTGTGTTCCCTCTCTCGCTATATCTCTGTCAAATAAATAAATAAAATCTTTAAAAAAAAGAGTAATCATTTATTTCTGTTACGAAAGTATAGGTGATTTCTATTATCTTATTTTTACTTTTATGTATTTCCCTACTCTGACCACTGAAGGTGTCCGTGAATGTAATTCAAATCTTTACTAGAGACTCTCTGAGAATATCAAATGTATCCAATTCATAACCCAGTGTAAAAGTCCTTTAAAGGGTTTTCTTCTTTTTAATTAAAAACTACAAGGGTTTCTTTTTTTTTCCTTTTTCAATAATGTCTTTACTCTGTGCTATGTCAACTCATTTTTCCACCCTCTGGGAAAGCCTGTCTTATAGTTTTTTAGTCACTCCCAGGCACTAACAAATAGCCACATTTTCAGAAAACAAAAATTCTGGAACAATCTAAATAGTCAAATTTCAATTCAGCATCCGATTTTAAATCTCTCTCCTACTCCCTTGTCCCAGATGCTCCTAACACAGGTGGGGTGGTGTTTGCTTCAGAATTCCTTCTCCTCATTCTTCTGCTTTTCTTCCCCGCCTCTCCAAGCTGCCTCTGTCTTCTTCAAAGTCACAGCAGCAGGAAGGAGAGAGCAAGAGCCAAAAAGGGGGTCCACATTGGGTCCCTGGGAGATCTGCACACACCCTGATCCTGTCAAACTCTGGATATCCAGGATGTAACCAATACTGCTGTGTTGATTTACTCTGTCTGTTAGCCTGTGCCTTTAGATTTTCCCAGACATGACTAAAGTATCATTCCCTGATGTGGAAATGTTGGGGTTCAGGGCAAAAGGTCAAGAAAGAACTCTTGAGATGTCTTCAGTGCAAAAAGGTGGTTTTATTAAAGCACAGGGACAGGACCCCTGGGCAGAAGGAGCTGCACTGGGATTGTGACAGGTGACCGATTATATACTTTCAAGTTGGGAGAGGGATACATTGCACGGGACCAACACATGTACTTGGTAAACTTTTAATTGCATTCCATCCATCTGTATCTTCCACTCTCACATTCCTGACCCTTTCTTTCATCCAGGATTCCAAATTCTAAAATTCCAAGTCTCCAAACTCGCTTCTATAAAGCTCTTAGATAAGTCAAATCATGGGGTTTCATGGCGTGGCCCCAAATTAAACAAATAAACAAACAAAATACACTGGAGAGAATTTTTCCCTAAGAAATAACAATGGTACTATTGTATTTCTTAATGGCTTTCTCGGGACTTTGATAAACATTGTCTCCAATCTCTGATTCCCAGACCTCCGAACCAGTAATTTTACTGCAAAACAAGAAAAAGGAATTCACTTTGGCTGAAATGTTAAATATATTTAAATAAGGATTTTTTTTTAAGTTACCCTCAGATCTTTCTCTTTCCTATTTGCCCATGTCTTCTCCTTATTTGAGTCATTTTGGTTAAGCCTCACTCCCTTTTGAGATTGCTTCGTTTACAAAAGTAATGAAATTATTATCTTACCTTCATGTTTGGGGAAACATTCAGGGCAGAAGAAAGGAAGAAAATTTCCACTGAGTGCCCGGTGAACTTTCAACAGCAGGAAGAGCCCAGCAGCCTGCTCCCTCCCTGTCTCTCCCTGCTGGGGATTAACTTGGCACTCATAAATAAAGCAAGTGGTTCTGAGACTTAGCTCCTACCCCAACCAGATACTCTGGGAACACGAAGAGCCTGCCCCTCTATTTAGTCCATGTCTTGGAGCCAGATGCATCTTATCAACTTACACAGGCCTTAGCTATAGCCAGCTGGGACTGTTTGGAAGTATAGTCCTAAGAAAACATCTGCAAATCAAGAAAGGCAGCCAATGTTCTCAGTTCGATGTTTAAGTGATTTTCAACCAAAGGAGACTCTGTGTAAGGCAAGGGATAAGCCTCCTTTCTATTTCAATCTTCTAAACTAAGCGGATGTTTTCATGATTCTCTTAAAGGGTGTTGTACACTAGACTTTGAGATTAAACACTGTGAGAAAAAAAAAAGATCTAAATGCAGTTCTGTCACTCAGAATATAAATGGAACATTCTGGGGTGGAATTTCCACCCCTCCCCCCACACAAAAAAAGGAAAACGAAACAACAAATACACACACACACACACACATATGGCATAACACAATATTATATCCATCCCCTCATGCTTGACTTCCACAGAATGGTCAAAAACAGCATCATGTTTTGCAAACATATTAAAGAGCATTCACTAATTTTCCCAAGTTCTTACCTTAATCCTTTGATGTGGAGATCACTGTTGGAAAGTTCCTATCACGTTCATCATGCTCTGTCCATTGTTTCCTCTTCGGTTATCATGTTGGCTAATTCTGCCAGATCCTCGATCCCCACAGGTTTGCACTGATCCTAGCAGTTCTCAACATCACTTTCATAGATTGCATGAATGCTGCATTTTGGGGGCAATATTTCAGATTTTCTGAAGCTATGGTTTGATTCACACGGTTTTGCCAAATACTCTGACACTTGCTGCTAGGGCACTAATAAGAGAGACGTAAGTGTTAAGTGGGAAAGGATTTTTGAATTGAGAGTAATTTTATAACTAAGTATTCCATTAGTGAATATTTTCTAGTTTTAATGATTTATTTCTTTCTTTATCCAAAGAACTTGAATAATAGAGACCAACCCCTACCCTCCCCTCATAAATTAATGGGCTTCCAGAGACAAATCTTCCATATCTTTTGTTAAAACCATTAGTGATTTGTGTGGAAGAAATTTTGCCACAGAGAAGATGACCCCTAATTCCTGAAAGATTTTTGTTGTTGTTGTTCAACTCCAATTGCATGATTTCCAAATGTTATGGACTCTTCTAAAGTACTCATTGTGCAGGGGCGCCTGGCTGGCTCAGTCAGTGGAGTGTGTGACTCTTGATCTCAGGGTTGTGAGGTCAAGCCCAATGTTGGGTGTGGAGATTACTGAAAAATGAAATCTTTAAAAAAAAAAATGCTCAGTGTACAATTCCACATTCAAGGGCTTCATTTGCATTCCCCTGAAAGCAGATTCTCAGACAGGAAATCAATTGCAAGTAGACTTTTTGGGGGTGTTGGGGGGTTTTGGTTTGGGTTTTGGTTGGGTTTTGTTTGTTTTTGTTTTGTTTTCTGTTTTGAGAAGTGCTCCTACAAAGCACTGCTGAGGGGTGGGAAAGTGAGACAAGAAAGGAGAGGTAGTCAGTAAAAGGTACTTTACCTTGCAAGATACCACTGTGGCAATTAAAACTCAGTCCCAGTGTGGAAATCCGGGGGACACTGCAGAGTATTTCTCAGAGTTATTCCAACTAAATGAATATATCAACCAACACCCTATCATTGATTGAGGGTGGCTCCTAGACTCAACTCTCCAACAATTCCAGTTTGCCTTGGCAGTAGGCTGAGCAGCACTGGTAGCTAGGAGGGAAAAGGGCCTTCAAATAGACTGTTGCAGGTATCAGCAGTATTTGCAGATATTTGCCTTTGTCATGTAGCTATGAGTGTTGAGGGGATATAAGTAGATACCAACAGCACTGCTGTGGTAGCTTGTCATTCGTACATGAATGCATTCATTAATTTGTTTATTCTAATTCAACAAATGTTTACTGAGGATGCATAATATAATAAGCTAAAGATTTTGGCAGATAGAAGCCTTGAGCAATATCTCATTATTTTTATTCCTTACATGCTATAAAGATCATATGAGCCCATGTATAGAGTATCCTTAGTCTAGAGGATGTCACATGCATATAGTGTATCTACAATAATTTAGAACTTGAATTGTTCAGTTCACAGAGTCTGTATCCCAAAGATCAATTAAAAAGTTTACAAAACCTTCCTTTCCCCAAGTGTTTTGCACTCTCCCATCTCCCTATCTTTGCTCTCACATGAACAGTGTTTCTTCAACAGGAGGAATTTCAATGGAGGAGTCATTAGAACAAAGGCTTTAAGTGCAGGTGGGAGCCTTACTGTGGGAAATGTGACTACTGGTGTAAGTTGTATGGACTTTATTCAAAGGACAATGGGAACTCACTCAATGGAAGTTTTAAAGAAAGAATCAAAGAGATGTTTTCAAATGATCAAAACAGTGGTAGTACACAGACCACATAGGTAAGGAGCGGAAGCAGGACACATGATTTGGAACTTATCTGAGTAGTCAGACAAAGGGTAATCAAGGCCTCATTCAAGAAGAGATAGACAAAAGACCAGGAAATTCACAAGGCTTAGTGATTAAACATGGTTCCATGTCTGATTGAGAAAATTGGAAAAATTTAACAAATTAATAAAGGAGAGAACAGGCAGTTGAAGAGGAAGAGGTGATTTTGGAGAGGGGACATTTTATTTTGGAGAAAACAACCAACACATAACCAGAAATGTAGATCTTTTTGGAAAGGAATATAAGAAATAACTTGGATAGGGATATAGGTAGAGTCATTGGCAGGAGGATCATAGAGAAGTGAAGTCCTGGGACAATGATCACAATGAAGTATAAAACCATAAGACGTGCCACTTCTCAGGGAGCAGAAGGACAGGGAAGAGCCAAAAAGGAAAGAGAGAGGTTACAGAAGGAGAAGTAAAACGAAAACAATGCACTGTCAAACCAGTTCAGGAGAATCACAAAGAGAGGTCAGTCAACAATGACAAGTGGAGATCAAAGAGAAGGAGTATTGAGGGAAAACCACACTACACTGCAATTGAAACATAATTAAAACACTGTGGATAAACTGAGGGCAGAGTTTCCCCACATATTTTCCACTCTGGTGCTACAAGATACCTCAAGAAAAATAATTAATTTTCTGTTTAAATAAGAATAAGAAGCTGCATATATTATAGAGAAGGGTTTCTCAACCTTTGAATTATTGGCCTTTAGGGCGTGATCATTCTTTGTTGGTAGAGGGGGTTGGGGGAGCTTGTCCTGTGCATTGGAGGACACTCAGCAGTATCCTTGGTATCTACCCACTTGATGCCAGTAACACTCTTCCTTAGTCATGGCAGTCAAAATTGTCTCCAAATATTGCCAAATGCCCCCAGGAGGCAAAGTCAGCCCTCCTCCATTGAGAACCACTGTTACGGTGTCTACCTCTAGCAAATGCTCAGCCTTAGATTCACAAAGCACACACTGCACAGTGCATTGTAAATTAAATGTTCTAAAAGTTGTACACCAAGTAAAATTTCTTAAAACTTTTTTCAAACCAGAATTTTCCAAATTCATGTGACCCCAGAACTTGTATTTCTGACAAGCTTCAAAACTGGTATAGCAGACATGCTTTAGCAAATGGTATCGGAGGCAATACTGAATCCATGGAAGAGGAAAGCAGATTTCTGCCAGACTGGGGAAGGGTCCACAAGGGCTCAGTCCTCTCCCTATCTCCTGCTATGACACACTCCCTATTCCCCATTAGTCTTCACTTCCCTTGGTAGCACCTCAAAAACTTTAACATCCCCAGACCCTAATGAAACAGACCACTGATGATATCAAGAAGCTGTTATGGTCCACCTTCGGGAAATATTTGAAAACATTTTAACAAGCCTATTTCATTTGCTAGCCTTTCATCTTATCCTAAATTGTTCCACTGACTCTAGGCGCATAAGAGGAATAAACTTGCGGAGGAAAAATAAAGCCTCCTTTCCTTTCTTCTGTTAAGTCTGATAAGGTCAGAACGGAAACCGCCAGCAATTGGAGCAAAAAGCAACACTACTCCCTAGTGGCAGTCATGCTGCAGTGCCTTGAGTAATAGAACAGCATTAGGCTCTGGAGTTAAACCACGGGAGCGAGAACCGTTCAATCTTCTTAGTCTCCCAGTCAAGTGCTTGTTAAGCTAGTAAGTACTCCAGGTGGTATCTCTTTTTCCATTAAAGTGTCATGGTGTGAATAGTTTGAGAATGAAAAATGGCAGGCAATACCTTATCTAAAGGAATTTTTCAGCAAAACAATGACTGTTAAATGGCTTTATCATATACCTAATAAGCTGCCCATCTCTGCTGGGAGCACTGCATTCCATACTGTGATTTGTGCATTATTTAATTAGTTAATTTATTTACTTACTTATTTATTTTAAAGGAGATAAAAGTTTATTGAATACACCACAAGGGAGCGGCGGGCAGGACAGCAAAGGAGAGACTATCTGCCTGCATTAAAGTGAGGTCACCAAAAAAAAAAAAAAAAAAAATGGGGTCACTAGATTAGTACTCTCTGTTGGTATCCAGTCCCTAAGAATGATGTTTAAGGTTTAAATAGATTAAGAAATATTTCCAGGGCATTACACTTCCTTGTAGACAGTTGTTGTCATTTACAACACGGGACTAGCCTTTGCCTCGGTGGCCCCGATGGCAAGGATGGCAAGGATCCAAATAAAATCAGGAAGCAATACGACACTTTGTTGTTAATGCGTTTCAAGGTTTTCAATAGTGGCAGGCACCTGCTAAATTTAGGAGAAGGCCTGGCTTGGTTTGGGTTTCTAACATCTGGGTTTTTCAGTTTTCTGCAATGCACATTGTGGCAGTAGCCTGCATGGCTGAGATATATTTCATTTGGTTTAAATTTGAATTAAGTCAAAGAGCTCTGAGAAGGAAGACAGGAAATGCAAAGATTTTTGTGGTTCCACACCTGCCTTGTGTAAAGACCTGCAGAGGAAGGGTGAATAGCAAAGGACAAGGTCATTTATCTGATCTGCACAGTAACTTGGGGT